TACTCCTCTGTCCCTTGGGTACCAAGGCTCATCTTCCCAAGGAAGAGGAAGCTGAATCTCCAAGAGTTGCCCAAGACCACACCAGCCAGTGAGGATGAAGGATTTAGACCCGGGTCTACCTCCAGGACGTCACTAAAGTTTTTTTGTTTGTTTTTTGTTTTGAGATGGAGTTTTGCTCTGTTGCTCATGCTGGAATGCAGTGGTGCCATCTCAGCTCACTGCAACCTCCAGCTCCTGGGTTCAAGCGATTCTCCTGCCTCAACCTCCCAAGTACCTGGGATTACAGGCACCCACCATCACGCCCAGCTAATTTTTTTTTTTCTGAGATGGCGTTTCACTCGAGTTGTCCAGGATGCAGTGCAATGGTATGATCTTGGCTCACCACAACATCTGTCTCCTGGGTTCAAGCAATTCTCTTGCCTCAGCCTCCCGAGAAGCTGTGGTAAACATCACCATGCCCGACTAATTTAGTATTTTTAGTAGAGACGGATTTTCTCCATGTTGGTCAGGCTGGTCTTGAACTCCTGATTGCAACTGATTTGCACGCCTTGGCCTCCCACAGTGCTGGGGTTACAGGCATGAGCCACCGCACCTGGCCAGGAACTCACTGTTCTTGCAGCCCCTCTGGGCAGAAGGCCCATTAACTAAGAACATTGGGCAAGTTGTTCATGACAGGTTTGGGGGTGGGACCCTCTTCATCCCTGCAAGAGCTCCCCTGCCAGGTGGGTCACCACCATGGCTGCAATGCCAGCTGACTGTGGGCAAGAGGACATGGCAGCCTTTATGTCCCTAGGAGCAGAACACCGACTGTTCCTGGAGGCCCAGATGGGAGTGCCCTGCCCTTCCCAGCTCCTCTCTCCAATTCTGAGGGAGAGGACGGAGGGACTGAGAGGCTCACCCTTGGGTCCCGGACATGCTTGGGCCTATCTGAGCAGGAGAGGCATGTTTAGGATCCACAGTGGCTCTGAAGCCAGCATGCTTGAGTTTAAATCCAGCCCAGCCAGTGGTAACCTGTGTGCAAGTGACTTATCCTTTCTGTCCCTGGGCTGATAAACAATGTTAGTGCCATGACTCATGGAGGTTTAAGGAGTTGCTACATGCAAACGCTTGGAACAGCATCTAGTGCACAATTAGTGATCAATAAATGCAACTATGTCGGTAGGCACCATCCTCATGTGTTACTCTGGGGCTGGGCGTGGTAGCTTATGCCTGTAATCCCAGTACTGTGGGAGGCCAAGGTAGGAGGACAGCTTGAATCCAGAAGTTTGAGACCAGTCTGGGCAATATAGTGAGATCCTACCTCTACAAAAAAATTTACAACTTGGCCAGGTGCGGTGGGTCACACCTGTAATCCCAGCACTTTGGGAGGCCGAGGCAGGTGGATCAAGAGGTCAGGAGTTCAAGACCAGTCTGGCCAATAAGATGAAACCCTGTCTCTACTAAAAATACAAAAATTAGCCAGGTACAGTGGCAGGTGCCTATAATCCCAGCTACTCAGGAGGCAGAGGCAGGAGAATTGCTGAACCAGGAGGGCAGGTGGCAGAGGTTGCAGTGAGCCAAGACTGCTCCACTGCACTCCAACCTAGGTGACAGAGTGAGATTCCATCTCAAAAATAAATAAATAAATAAATATTCAGGAAGAAGTTTTGTAAGGAACAAAAAAATATTAAATTCAGTTAGCCAGGCAGGGTGGCATGCAGCTGTACTTTCAGCTACTTGAGAGGCTAAGGTGGGAAGATTTGAGCCTAGGAATTCAAGGCTGCAGTGAGCTATGATCATGCCACTGTACTCCAGCCTGGGTGACAGGAAGACACTGACTCTAAAAATTAAAAATTACTCTGAACCTGGGAGACATAGACTAACTGGTCCAGAATCTATACCTACAGCTAAACAGGGGTTAGAACATTAGCAGTGAAGAACCGTTTATATAATGAAGCCACCTCAGTCTCAGGGTTGAGGACACAGAGGAGTGATAGGGATGGTGACCAGCTGGCAGGTTGGTGCCAGGTAAAGACGGAAGCTGTCCAGCCACAACCAGTTACTGATGTGAAAATGAGGATAATCTTGCCACATCTTTGGATTTTCCAAAGAAGCAGGAAATTCTATTTTAATTTTTTTTCTTTTTTGTTTTTGAGATGGAGTCTTGCTCTGTTGCCCAGGCTGGAGTGCAGTGGTGCTATCTCAGCTCACTGCAACCTCTGCCTCCCAGGTTCAAGCAATTCTCCTGCCTCAGCCTCCTGAGTAGCTGGGATTACAGGTGCATGCCACCATGCCCAGCTATTTTTGTATTTTTAGTAGAGATAGGGTTTCACCATGTTGGCCAGGCTGGTCTCAAACTCCCAACCTCAGGTAATTCTCCCACCTCAGCCTCCCAAAGTGCTGGGATTACAGGCATGAGCCACAATGCCCAGCAATTTTTAATTTTTAAAAATTTAATTTTTTTTTTTTTTGAGATAGATTCTCACTCTGTTGCCTAGACTGGAGTGCAGTGGTGCGATCTCAACTCACTGCAACCTCTGCCTCCTGGGTTTTAAGTGCTCCTGCCTCAGCCTCCTGAGTAACTGGGATTACAGGTGCATGCCACCATGCCCGGCTAATTTTTTTTGTATTTTTAGTAGAGATGGTGTTTCACCATGTTGGCCAGGCTGGTCTTGAACTCCTGCCCTCAAGTGATCTGCCCACCTCAGCCTCCCAAAGTGCTGGGATTACAGGTATGACCCACTTTGCCTGCCCGGCCACCCCCCTGCTTTTTTTTTTTTTTTTTTTTTCTTTGAGGCAGGGTCTCACTCTGTCACCTAGGCTGTAGTGGTGTGATCATGGCTCACGGTAGCCTCCACCTACCAAAAGTAAGTGATCTTTCTGCCTCAGCCCCTCAAGTAATTGGGACCACAGGCATGCATCACCATGTCTGGCTAATTGTTTTGAAGTTTTTCATAGAGGTGAGGTTTAACTATGTGGCCCAGCCTTCAAACTCCTGGGCTCAAGTGACCCTTCTGACTCAGCCTCCCAAAGTTCTGGGATTACAAGCATGAGCCACCAGACCTGTCTTTTCGCAATTTCTTTTCTCTTCTTTCCCTCCCTTCTTTTCTCTCTCTCTCCCTCCCTCTTTTTTTTTTTCTTTTGAGACAGGGTCTCACTCTGTTGTCCAGGCTGGAGTACAGTGGCTCAATCTCGGCTCACTGCAACCTCTGCCTCCCGGGCTCAAATGATCTGCCTGCCTTGGCCTCACAAAGTGCTGGGATTATAGGCATGAGCCACTGCACCCAGCTAATTTTTGTATTTTTAGTAGAGACGGGGTTTCACCATGTTGGCCATTCTGGTCTCGAACTCCTCACCTCAAGTGATCTACTTGCCTCGGCCTCCCAAAGTGCTGGGATTACAAGTGTAAGCCATTGCACCCAGCTGCCTTTAGCATTTTCTTTTGCTTTCTTTTCTTTTCTTTTTTTTGAGATGAAGTTTCACTCTTGCTGCCCAGGCTGGAGTGCAATGGCACGATCTTGGCTCACTGCAACCTCTGCCTACCAGGTTTAAGTGATTCTCCTGCCTCAGCCTCCCAAGTAGCTGGGATTACAGGCATGTACCACCACACCTGGCTAATTTTTTGTATTTTTATTAGAGATGGGGTTTCACCATGTTGTTCAGGCTGGTCTTGAGCTCCTGCCTTAGGTTATCCACTCACCTCAGCCTCCCAAAGTGCTGGGATTACAGGCATAAACCACGGCGCCTGGCCACCTTTAGTAATTACTGACTTTGGTTTGCTCTTCCCCCAGACCCGTCAGTCTCTGGACAGAGCCCTTTGCACGCTCCCAGGATTCCTCTGTGTCTATAACACACACACAATACCAAACTTCTGAAGGCTAGAAAGCCTGACTCCCATGCTTCTCTGAGGTATGCCCACCTTGGTGTGGACCACAGTCCCCAGGAATAATAATACAGTGTGTTCAACTAAAAGAATAAGGTGGCCTTAAGTACATCACTTGCATCTCATACCTTCATTTCCTCACCTGTGAAATAGGGATGATGGGCAACCTCACCCCATGGGATTGTGATAAGGAAGACAAGAGAGAAAGGCTATAAAAACTGCCAACACAGATAACTTGGACGTTGCGGGGCCACCAGTGTTCCTGGGTTTTTAAAGCTCCTTCTGCTGTGAGCCAGGTGCCTTCTGAGCTATGGGGAAAGAGGTTCTCCCTCCTGGGCCAGAGAAACCCCACTGGCTTCTTTCCTGCCACCGTGAGCCTCAGTTTCCTCCTTTGAGGGGAGGTGTTTAGGGAAGAGGGGCTGGGACACAGGCTGTCACAAATCCTTCCCGGCTGTGCTTGTCCCTGCAGCCCCAACTCGTGCAGCCATGACTTCTATCAAGCACTGGGGCCATGTTTAGTCGGTAGGGTGTTCCCTCTCAGGTCTGCCCTGCCAGACCATGCTGCCATCCCAGCCCCATCTCAGGGTTAGTCCAAACAAAGGCTGGTCTCAGGGGACCAGCAGCCTCCAAATCTGAGATAGGGCTTTCTGGGCGCGGCCAGCACAGCCCTGGCGAGATGGAGAGCGGCCAGCAGCCCAGGGACCCTCGCGGGCATTGGGGCTGCCCCAGACGCCTACACTGCCTGCTCCCACTGGAGACAGGGACAGAGGCGGCTTCCCAGCCTCCTCCCTGCTCTCACGGCTGTCCCCTTTTTTCCCCAGGCTGCGGGAGGCAAAGGGTTAAATCCCATAGAGCTGATGCTCTGACTCCAGGCTAGAGGGGCCCGGGAAGCTGGGGTCACTTCCTGCTCCGTCCCAGTCACCCTGAACTGGTCCCCGGGTCCTCAGCCTGGAATCACCCCTTGAGAAGGACCCCAGAGTCCTCCGCGCCCAGCCCATCCCCCGAGGCAGGGCACTGAAGGGGTTAAGTCCCCTGGGGCTGGATTCCGCCTTCCAGCTTTTCCCAGACCCCAGAGCCGTGAGTTGGGGACGCCTGGGTTCCTGGGGGGTAGCCTGGAGGGCCCGGGACGACCGCCGGGGAACAATGGGGTCTGGGAGGCGGGGGCCCGGAGGCTGGGCCTGAGCCCCCCACCCCGCCCGGGGCCGTGGCCGGGGGTGGGGGCGGGCGGGGGGCGCGGAGGGCCGAGGATTCTGGGAAGCGCGGGGGTCGGCGGCGGGGGAGGGGAGCCTGGGGATTCTGGGAAGAGGGATCGGCCGGGGCCGGGGGCCGGCGCTGCCAGCGCAGCCCTGGAGGAGCCCAGCTGTGCTGGAAGGAGCCAGCACCTGGGGGCCGGGGGTGGGGGCAGAGATGCCCAGGCTCTGGATCAGCAGCGGGACGGGGTCAGGGCTCCGGGGAACAGAAGTTTGGGTGGTGCAGGCAGTCGGGGGGGGGGCCGAGCCGGGCGGCCGCATTCCCACCGCCTCCATGTCAGGGTCACCCTGGGCCGCTCCCCACACCTCTCTGGAGGCGGCTCCTCCTTCCCTCCCTCTGCAGCGAGGCCATCGCGAGGTCTCAGGCTGGCGTGCCTGGCGCCTGGACTCCCAGCGCCTTGGCCTCCCTCAGTCTTCCCACCTCCATGCTCTGTGCCAGCCCTGTCATTAACCCTTTCCCTCCTATCGCTGGGTGGGAATTTCTCGGAGGTCATCGATGTCCACAAGCTCTTACCTGTCCCCAGCAAACACAGCAGGGCATCCTTCCCAGATGGGACATCAGGCAGCCCCCAGCCCCCAGCGTGGCAGAGGTCTCCTCTTCCACCATCCCAAAGACACTTACAGGCTGGGGAGGGGGATTCTCCAAGCTTAAGTAGCTGCAGAGATGAAGAAATTAATTTACTTCCTAAATGCTAACTTCTCTCTCCTACTGCTCTTTGGCAGGGTGTAGCCCGTCTTGCTTCACCTTGTTCACCTCTCGGCTGCCTCCTGCCATGTCTCCCTAGCCCCAGTGCCCCTGTGCACACAGCGCCCACCCTACACAGCCATCCAAAGTTTCCAGGCCCCACCCCAGAATTCTCCCAAGGGTGTAAATTGTGTGGGACGTCCTCCTAGTGCTTTGTTCCTGTGGCCCTGTTCCCTCATCCTGGACTCATCTCACTATTTTTGGAGTGACAGTCGGCTGTTTTTCACCAGGGGGCCACTTTGGAACTCCTGCTCATTTGCTGCCATCCCCTTGCAAACTGATCTTTAAAGGCATTAGACCAAACAGGTGTTCCAGGGGCTAGGAACATTTCACTCATTCATTCAACAAAGTTTCTGGAGCACCTACTCCATGTCAGGGCCATCCTAGGCTTGGGAAATAGCCTCAACAAAACAGAACAAAAGGAGTGGAAGGACAGTTCATGTGGGAGTGGGGATAGGAGGGCTTCGGTAGGGAGTAGAGCTCCAGCTTATGGGCACAGACCCACAGGCCTAGTCACTGGGTCCAACTCCTTTTCTAGCCTGGGAAACCTCTGGGCTCCAGGAATTTCTCCAGCCTATTCTCACTGACAGCAGGCTCCCCGTGAGCTGTCCTCATCACCTGTCTCCTGCCAGCCTCCCACAAGCATGAGAGTTTCACATGACTCCCAAGGTCACCTCATGCTCTCAGAGACAGGGAGCCCCGCTTTTGTGATCTTAGCTCTGCCACTTCTCAGCCCTGACCTTGGAGAGGTCTCCCCAGGCGTTGATGTACTAATCTGTAAAATGGACAGCCTGAGTCCTGGGTCTCCTTACCAGGCTGTGGGAGAACTGGGTGAGAGAAATGATACCATGACAGGTGCTGTGTCCCCTGCAGTGTTCACACAACGTCCATTCTCCCCTTCTTCCTTTTTCTCTCCCTCTGGGTGGTTCCTGCAGACGCTCCTGGCAGCTTTAAACTTCCCTCCCCCCACCTCTGGCCTGACCCTCTTTCTGTGCTTGGATAACGGGAAAGTGCCCCAGTCCTTTTAGAGGGGCCTATCCCCTCTGGGAAACTTTTTTTTAACCCTTTAAGTGTCTCAGGCAGCCTCGGTTCTCTTTGGAGCACAGAAGGGAAAAGTTTATTGGTCTCAATTAGCAGCCCCATTAAGGAGGAAAATTAGAGTCTTAATGAGCTTTCTCTGATTAGCAAAATAACAGGTTTCCCAGCCTCTGGGCATCAGAAGTGTGGGGTGAAAACCTCCTTCCCTTGTGGATGTCAGAGACAGCTCCAGCCCCCAGTCTGGGTTCAAAGGCTTATGAGTGATGAGTTTTTAATTACACTCTTAAATTCACCTGCTTGCTTAGTTGTGATCTTAAGATCTGGAGCTGGAATCAGGCCCGCAGGGGAAGGGGGCCACAACCCGTGCCCAGAAAAATGGGGTGGGAGGACACTGAAGCTCACACAAGGAGGAATGGGGCAGGGCAGGGCAGGAGCGAGGTTCAGAGGGAGTAAAGCAAAGTGCAAAATCAGCTCCCAGTGTGTGCTCATCACTCTCTTCCCCCGCAGGGTCCCTGGAACACTGCAGTCCTGAGCTCTGGAATGGAGCCGGAGACTGCGCTGTGGGGCCCGGATCTGCAGGGTCCAGAACAGAGCCCCAACGATGCTCACAGAGGTGAGGGACACAAGAAGGGGCCTCAGTCCCGGCAAGATGGTGGCCCTGGTTCAGGGAGGGGCCTAGACTCTGGGGGACACGCAGGGGAGGGAAGAGAGACCAGACCCCGTGTTCTGAAAGGGGCTGGGGGCTGGAGACTCCCTTTCTCTCTGTAGGTGCCGAGAGTGGGAACGAAGAGGAGAGCCCTCAACAGGAAAGTTCTGGGGAGGAGATCATCATGGGAGACCCGGCTCAGAGTCCAGAATCCAAGGACTCAACAGAGATGTCCCTGGAGAGATCCTCCCAGGACCCCTCTGCCCCCCAGAAGCCCCCAACCCCACTGGGTCACTCCAACCCCTTGGACCATCAGAATCCCCTAGACCCCCCAGCCCCCGAAGTAGTCACTACCCCATCTGACTGGACCAAGGCCTGCGAGGCCAGCTGGCAGTGGGGCACTCTCACCACATGGAACAACCCCCCGGTGGTCCCCGCCAACGAGCCCAGCCTGCGGGAGCTGGTGCAGGGCCGCCCGGCGGGGGCAGAGAAGCCCTACATCTGCAACGAGTGTGGCAAGAGCTTCAGCCAGTGGTCCAAACTGCTGCGGCACCAGCGCATCCACACCGGCGAGCGACCCAACACCTGCTCCGAGTGCGGCAAGAGCTTCACGCAGAGTTCGCACCTGGTGCAGCACCAGCGCACGCACACGGGCGAGAAGCCCTATAAGTGCCCCGACTGCGGCAAGTGCTTCAGCTGGAGCTCCAACCTGGTGCAGCACCAGCGCACGCACACGGGAGAGAAACCCTACAAGTGCACGGAGTGCGAGAAGGCCTTCACCCAGAGCACCAACCTCATCAAGCACCAGCGATCCCACACCGGTGAGAAGCCCTACAAGTGCGGCGAGTGCCGCCGGGCTTTCTACCGCAGCTCGGACCTCATCCAGCACCAGGCCACGCACACGGGTGAGAAACCCTACAAGTGCCCCGAGTGCGGGAAGCGCTTCGGCCAGAACCACAACCTCCTCAAGCACCAGAAGATCCACGCGGGCGAGAAGCCATACCGCTGCACCGAGTGCGGAAAGAGCTTCATCCAGAGCTCGGAGCTGACCCAGCACCAGCGCACACACACGGGTGAGAAGCCCTACGAGTGCCTAGAGTGCGGCAAGAGCTTCGGCCACAGCTCCACCCTCATCAAACACCAGCGGACTCACCTGCGCGAGGACCCGTTCAAGTGCCCGGTGTGCGGCAAGACCTTCACCCTGAGCGCCACACTGCTGCGGCACCAGCGCACGCACACGGGCGAGCGGCCCTACAAGTGCCCTGAGTGCGGCAAGAGCTTCAGCGTCAGCTCCAACCTCATCAACCACCAGCGCATCCACCGCGGCGAGCGGCCCTACATCTGCGCCGACTGCGGCAAGAGCTTCATCATGAGCTCCACCCTCATCCGCCACCAGCGCATCCACACCGGCGAGAAGCCCTATAAGTGCTCTGACTGCGGTAAGAGCTTCATCCGCAGCTCCCACCTCATCCAGCACCGCCGCACGCACACAGGCGAGAAGCCCTATAAGTGCCCCGAGTGCGGCAAGAGCTTCAGCCAGAGCTCCAACCTCATCACCCATGTCCGGACGCACATGGACGAGAACCTCTTCGTGTGCTCCGACTGCGGGAAGGCCTTCCTGGAGGCGCACGAGCTGGAGCAGCACCGGGTGATTCATGAGAGGGGGAAGACCCCGGCGCGGAGGGCTCAAGGTGAAGCCCTGCTGGGGCTTGGGGACCCCTCCCTGCTGACCCCACCGCCGGGAGCCAAGCCACACAAGTGTCTAGTGTGCGGAAAGGGCTTCAACGACGAGGGCATCTTCATGCAACATCAAAGGATCCATATCGGAGAAAACCCCTACAAAAATTCGGACGGCCTCATCGCACACCCAGCCCCCAAACCTCCTCAGTTACGACCCCCGAGGCTCCCTTTTGGAGGGAATTCCTACCCGGGTGCTGCGGAGGGCAGAGCCGAGGCACCTGGACAGCCCCTTAAGCCACCAGAGGGTCAGGAGGGCTTTAGCCAGAGGCTGGGGCTGCTGTCCTCCAAGTCCTACATCTGCTCCCACTGCGGAGAGAGCTTCCTGGATCGCTCTGTACTCCTCCAGCATCAGCTCACCCATGGCAACGAAAAGCCCTTTCTCTTTCCTGATTATAGGATTGGCCTAGGGGAAGGCGCAGGGCCCAGCCCCTTCCTAAGTGGGAAGCCCTTTAAATGCCCTGAATGCAAAAAAAGCTTTGGCCTCAGCTCTGAGCTACTGCTGCACCAGAAAGTCCATGCAGGTGGGAAGAGCTCTCAGAAGAGTCCAGAGCTGGGGAAGAGCTCTTCCGTCCTCCTGGAGCACCTCAGGAGTCCTCTGGGGGCCAGACCCTACAGCTGCTCAGATTGCAGGGCCTCCTTCCTCGACCGCATAGCCCTCACCCGGCACCAAGAAACACACACACAGGAAAAGTCCCCCAGTCCCGAGGACCCCTCTCCAGAGGCAGCCACCCTGTCCACAGGCCAGGAAGGTGAGGGGGAGGCCACTACCCCCACAGGGAGCAGCAGCCATGGGGAAGGGAAAGAAGGAGAAAGCCCCAAAACCCAAGAAAAGCCCTATCTGTGCCCCGAGTGTGGAGATGGCTTCACAGAAGTCGCAGCCCTCCTGCTCCATAGGAGCTGCCACCCAGGGGTCTCCCTGTGAAATGGGTCTGGAGACCAGGGGCCTCTCTCTCCAGAGAGGAACACTGGATTTTTTTTCCCCCAAAAAAATTACATGGAAAGGAGGATAACCCTGTCAGATGGTAGTGGAGTGGAGGAGAAAGAACCCTGGGAAAAAACAGTGCTTTTACATCAGTGATGAGAAACCCTATAAAATTGTTGGTGGGAAGCACTTATAAGGCAGTAGAGAAAAACTGTTGGGTTAGAAACCCTATAAACATGTAGGAAAAAAAAAGCCCTTTAAGTCTGTAGCAGAAAAACCCTATAAACCATAGTGGATAAAAGCCCTATTAATTGTAGGAAGAGGTCCCAATATGTCTCTAAACAACTCTATAAAACTGTATCAAAATCCTTAGGAAAATCCTATAGGGTTGGGGAGGTGCCATGATGGCACTGACCCGGGAGGAGTGACCCTCAGAAGGTGCAGGAAACACTTCCCCTTCACTGTTCCACAGTGTTCTCTCCTAGCAGCCCTGGACAGTTCCATGGAGGAAAAAGCCCAGCTGGGGGAGTACTGTGGGAACTGGGTAGAACTGAAAAGGAAGAAAGGAGAAAAATAAGTGAGCAGGAGCTCTGGAGCCGCCAGAGGAGATAAGACAGAGACTAGGAAGAGAAGGTCCCGCTCACTGCACCAGGGTTCCTTGGGGGTTTGAGGCCAATTTTAGATGAATTGGGTGCATTAGGGGAAGAGGCTGTGGAATTCCTTATCAAAAAGAACCCCCAAATGAAGAAGAAAAACAAATTGGCAAGCCTTTTTAAAGGCTGAAGTTTGGGGTGCAGAAACATGGTCAGTGTAAGAATACTGAGAAACTACCACAAAAATTAGGGAGAAACGGGGCAGTTTCTGTTAGATTGCTTTGAGGGGAGCAAACCAAGGTGGAGAAACTGATCACATGGAACCCAGCTAATTCCAGCCCCTTCTTGCTTCTGGGAGCTTGTGAAACTGCAAGTTACAGGCAGGTCCCAGCTCTTAGACTGCGAGGGTTCTCCTCACAACAGGCAGGACCACCCTTTGTCCCTGCCCAGCCAGAGACTTTACTCTGCAAGGCCTCCAGGGATGGCGGTTGCCTCCCACCATGTTCTCAGGTCTCATCGTCAGGAGGTTTTTCCTGAAATCTAACTGCCACCAGTGGCAGCTCATTTCCTCGAATTCTGTTCTCAGTGCAGAGAGAGAACCGCTGCTAGTCGACCTCCAAAGAATAAAGCCCTTCAGAGACTTAGGGCCTGCGTGTGGGCCTCCCTAGCCTTCTCCAAGTCAGCAGGGCCACAGAATTTCTTAGAAAGCTTTGATTAGCCAGCAACCTGATTTTAAATTTCAGCCATTCAATCATCTTTGTTGGTAGCAAGGCTGCCCCGCAGGATAAGGCAGCCCCCCTGGTGGGGGTCCAGACACCCCATGGACTGAGCCACAGGTACCTGAAGAGGCCACAGAGGCCGTACCACCCTCCTTATCCTGGTACCTGGAGCCCTCCGGGGTTGTGATGATCCAGCCTGATCTCAGCCTTGGGATGGATGGAATGGATTCCACCAACTTGGCTCCTCTCTCCTTCTTAGCAAGAAACCTTCAGAGAGAAACAGAAGGAGAAAGGCTCCCCTGTGAGGCCCATCTCACCTCCCACACCACACAGTTATACGTTCATAAACCCAGCCAAGCCTGCTCACAGGCCTGGGCATATGTGGCTGGGGAGAGGCAGTTGCCCTATGAGATGGTTGGAAGAGAGTGAACTCTTGAGTGAAACATCCGTAACAAGAATCCCACTCCCTAACCCTGGAGACCCCTTCAGAAGGAGAGGACTCTGCTGGTGCTGGGTTGGAAAGGAAGTGCTCACCGACCCCGGCAATGAGCTGTCCTGGAGTAAGGGGACTGAGATGCCAGATGTGCGAAGTCACGTCTCAGAGAGGGGTGACCTGGATTTCTGCAAAGCTGCGGAGGAGACCTCTTAATTCCATGACCTAAAGGTTCACACAATGCAAATCCTTTGCCCTTCATCTATCCTGCCCCCAGTGGATGACCCTCACATTTAAAAGGATCAAAATCTAGAACATTGTGGGAGGGAAATGCCAGGCCTGCTAGGGAGAGGGAGAAGGCAGGCCTAAGGATTGTAGGGAGAACCTTGTTGACATTCACATAACGCCCCAGCCCACCTAAGTGCCAGGAAGGGAAGCACTACTGAGGGGCCGCCTGCAGGTCTCTTCCTGAAAGAATGCTGATGACGGGGGCATCCTTGTAAGACTGAGGGAAGAAGTCCTCCAAGTCTAGGCAGATTCCTATAAACCAAGAGGACAGCCCTGGGGACACTGAGGTCCATCAGAAGGAGTCCCAGCACTGCCCCAGGATGGTAGCAGAAACTGAAATTATAGAGACAAACCTCTCACAAAGCCAGAAGCAGATGCCCTCAGAAACGGACTTGAGGAATCTGTCCCCAGAAAAGGCCTGGGGAGCAGCTTTTGGGGCTCAGAGGCCAGTCCAGGGCAGTGTGTGGCTGAAGGCCGGTGCAGGCCTGTTTCGGACTAGGGTATAGCATATGTAGTAGTATGCTCGCATGTTGTAGGGATGGGTGAGGGCTAAGGGGCTTGGCTCTGGATGATGTGAGCACAGTTTGTGGGGTGAGGCATTTTGGAATAGGAAAGGGGCAGGGTCGGAGACCTCTGGGGTGTGGCCTATTCTCTCTTGCCCATCTCCCCAAGCTCCTTTCACCAGGGTCTCCCCTCTTAGAGAGAGCTATGTCTTGGGAGGATCGAAGCAGGGAAGTGGCAGCAGCTAGAGTTGCTCAGATTGGCTCAGATGAAGGCCTGGGGTCAAGGCATTTGCCCACCAGAACTGAGTCTGGAAGGCACTTGTCCAACTGCTTGCAGGCCACAGGCCCCTCAGAAACGCCCTACTGGAGGGAGGAGTCCAACAAATAGGATCAGGGAGTCAGTGGGGAAAGTAAAGGGAAGAGCTTAGAGTGAAACTCGAAACTGCCGTGGATATGGAGGTCAGATGGGAACTTGGAACTGGGCATGAATCCTGAATGGTGGGGAAACTTGAAGCCATCACAGCCAAGAGGTGGGGTTCTGTGACCTGCCCTGAGGTCAGCAGCTCCCAGACTCCTTTGTCCCCACTAGGGAAGCCCGTCACCTGACTTGTCTCCGTGGAGTGAAGAGAGGCCCCACTTTTGAGTGTTGTGTGTCAAAAACAGTGTTGTGTCACCAGTGGTCATGTTGCTTAGTTGAAGAAAATAAAGGGAATAAGATTTCCTGGGTGTTTCTTGTTTTCTCTTTCAGCCTAGAGAGAGCTGAAAGAGGGAGGCCTCGCCTTGAGCCGGGACCCAGGAGTGACTGAAAAAGCTCAGCCCAGCCCCAGGCCCACTCTTCACCCAGGGACCCTAAAATCTCCATCTAGTGCTGGCTTGTGGGAGACTGAGGGGTTTATGAAGTTTTAAGCTGCACACCCTTGGTGAACAGAGGGATATATCTGATGAGATGATGGCAGAGTCAAGCTGCTCTCATTGGTGCCTGGTCTCCCCACCAGCAGGACTGCAGAGCAGCTGCCTGGTGGCTCTGGGACTGGCCAGGTCAGGCCCAGCTGTGCAGCCCCAGGGAGGCCTCTCCAGCCACCATGCTGGCACCCTGCCACAAGGAGGAAGCTGGCATCCACCAGTCCTGGTTCACTTGGGGACCCTGGGGAGAGGTGAGTGGAGACCTGGCTTGTCATCTCACTCCCAGGATGTCAGCCCCTGCACCCTCACTGTGTGGAGACACTGAGGCTCAGAGAAGGGCAGCCACTTGTGCAAGATGCACAGCAAGCCCATTAAGGAAACCAGAATGGCCAGGAACTCAAGCATGCTCTGACTCCATCCTAATGCCAGGCCTGCCTCAGTGCTGTCTCCTGGGCCGGGGCCTAGGCTTGGCCACGGGGGTTGGGAGGGGTTCTACCCTAGCCAGGAAGTGTCTCCCCACCTTTCCTGTACCCCTGACCAGGTTCAGTGTCTCCTTCCCTTCCCCACCTGGAAAGTGGGGTGGGTAGGGAGAAACAAGTAATGAAGGCTACTCCACATTCTCTGTGTGCCAAGCCCTGGGGACACTGAGGTCCATCAGGAGTCCCAGCACTGGAGAAATCTCTAGGAAAGTGACCACAGAGGAAGAGCAGGTACAGGGCAGTGACTGCTTCAGAGATTTAGCAGAAGACCTGTGGACCCAAAGATGGTACCTGCCACAGTGGAGGGCCAGGAAGCTTCCCTGGGGAAGTGACCTGAAGGATGAGGGTTGCAAGAAGACCCAAGAGTAGGTGTATGGGCTGGGGGTGAGACAGGGGACAGGGGTGCATAACAGCTGGGAATGGGCTTACAGCAGAGGGGACTGAGGGAAGATAAAGGCAGAAAGCAGAGCCCACAGTGTGGACCCCCTGGAGCAGCTCAAGGAAGGCACCACATGGGGATATTTGAGAGTGACATGATCTCGCGCCACAAGAACTGTGGTGATTCTCGAAGTCTGGAACTCGGGAAAGAGAAGTGGCTGGAGCAGTTATGTCTTATCAGCTTATCCATAGCCATGACCATGAATAAACACACCCAGAGTGGCAAAGTAGGTCTAGTTCAGGAGTGGAGGCAGAGGACCAGCAGAAGACAGTATGAGAAAAACCAGGACAGGACAGTGCAGCACAGCCAGATGCAAGGCAAGTTTTGAGAAGAGAGTGGTCAATGTCAGGCACACCACTGGCCAATCACAGGCAGTGCCCAAGGTCTGGCTGAAACAGGCATGTCCACCACTGAGGCCAACATCTGTTCACCCCCAAGAGGACAGCCAAGGTCAGGGTGGGCCCAGCAGTTTCAGTCTGCCCGTCCCTGGGCGGTGGCCCAGGGTACCACTGCCACTGGGACCACTAGGGGTGGTAAGCAGTCAAGCTATTAAGGTAAATCATCCTGGCACTGCATGCTCATGGGAAATGTTTAAGAGTCTGGTTCCTGGCGGGGCCTGGTGGCTCACGCCTGTAATTCCAGCATTTTGGGAGGCCAAGGTGGGGGATCGCAAGGTCAGGAGTTCAAGACCAGCCTGGCTGTGGTGAAACCCCATCTCTAAAAATACAAAAATTAGCCAGACATGGTGGTGCATGCCTGTAAATCCCAGCTACTTGGGAGGCTGAGGCAGGAGAATCCCCTGAACCCGGGAAGCAGATGTTGCAGTGAGCTGAGATCATGCCACTGCACTCCAGACTGGGCAACAGAGTGAGACTCCGTCTGAAAAAAAGTTTGGCTCCTGCCCTGGCATCAGTGTTTGCTGGCCCACTGACATTCTGGGATTTTCATCCCGTTCCCTTGGACTTGATCTTGAGTAAGTGGTTTGATGCCAATTTTTATTAAGTATGAAAAGCCACAAGGAGCGTTTTGCCCCTCTGATAAGGAGACTGACAGGCCTTCAGAGCAGATATCTACGGAGACGATGCGTGGTTACTTGGCTTTTACTCAAGAGCCCAGGCGAAGGCGACTCCTGGAAGAGAACTGTGCTCACCGAGGCCTGGTTGACCTCCACCCGCGACCGGTGCGGCGCTCCTGAGACTGGCGCTCTCAAGGGGCGCAAGTGGCCGCGTGTCTATGATGTAATATCCTGCGTTTCTCCCACCCTCGCACCACTGCTCCTGGCCATCGGCACTTCCTCGGCGGCCCGATGTCCTCCCCCGCCGTGGCCCGCGCTCCCGCCAGCTTGCCTGCCACCGCGAGCACTGCGCCCAAGTCACCATGGCCCGCATCTCCGTCTCCAGTCCGATGTGGTCCAGCAGCAGCAGCCCCACTGAAGCCCTGGGCGCCAAGCGGGGGGGGAGGGCGGTCTGAAAGCGGACATAGCCGCTAGTCCTCGTGAAGGTACCAGTAAGAAGCACGCAGCCCCTGCCACGGCCATGGCCCCGTCGCCCGCGCCGGAACCAACCCCCCGGTTCTGGCACCAGCCCCAGTCCCGCCTCAATGAAGGATTCGCACGGGGGACCAGCAGCGCGCTGAGCCCAGGGGCGCCGCTCGGCACGTGGCGTACTGCTCCCGAAGGCGATTGCAATTAAGGAAGTCATCCCGCAAAGGTGTCCCCATCTGTGCATTCAAGGGATGTGGGTGTGGAGCTGCTCAGAAGTGGCCCGCAGGATCTGGTTCAGGCCCGCCTTCAGCCAGGGCAACCGGGAAACCAGCTCTCCCTCCAAGAACCACTTTGCCTTGTGCAGACCAGGAACTACACTTCCCAGGATGCAGCCCGAGGTGTGCGGGCATCTCCAGGCCAGTGACAGCCGGGGGTGTAGCCAGACCGCAGGCATGTGGAAGGTGGACAGGCGGCTCCGCTGCAACCACCATTCTCTCCCCTTTGGGCCCAGTCTGGGATCTGCCGGCCGTTGCCTCAGCACAGCCTTGCTGTTGAGGTGGACGGAAGCGGGGTTTCATATTGGCACAGGCCCCTCCCCCAGGCTCACACCAAGCCAGGAAAGTGCTGGGCAGCTGCTGCAGCTAAAATCAGGGGACTACATTCGGGATGCGAGGCCCAGCTACTATGGGTGCAGCCGAGGGTTGAACGTTTATTCATCACAATTAACAGCCTATACAAGAATCTATACAGCAGAGGCTGTGGGTCCAAACAGGCCCCTGCAGCTCCAACCCTCTGGCCTCTCTGGGTGCTGCCTTCATAGCCCATGGAGTATGCCTGGGCAGGCAGACAGGACACAGGCTCAGTCACAGGGTGTCAGGGGAAGCTCTTCTACCTGGAATGACTGGAAGTTGGCCCAGAGGCTGGGGCTGGACTGTCTTCCCCTCCTGGGAAGTTCCACCTCCACAGGATGAAAGCAGAGTCAGGTCCAGGGACCCAGTAGAGCCTTGGGGTGCATGAGGTGGGAATAAATGGGCTTGGAGAGAAGTGGAAATTGGGAAGGGGCCTGATTAGCATAGAAACTAATGCTGTTGGTTCGGCACCCGCAAGATGAGGACAGTGACTGCAGCAACCTTAGAGCTTCACAGAGGAAGCGAGTGATACCGCCGTTTGCCAGGAGGGTACCTCTCTTCAGCCCTTGGCACAAGAGCCAGACCAAGATGTCCAGGGAACTCCACAGGACAGAAGCCCTGCCGAGGTCAGGGAGATGATGGGTGAAGGAAAGTCTCCCTGGGGCCTGTGGCCCAATCTAAACAAGGGAATACGGACATGGCCCACCGGTCCTCACTTGTGAGCTGGTAGGCAAGGAGCAAGCCTTCTCTAGGGTAGGAGAGCACAGCCTGAGGAATTTCCCTTGGGGCTAGGATGCATCCATGGAGACAGGTTAGGTCCAGTTTCTGGGAAGCTCAGTTGAGTGCTCTGGGCTCCTCAAGCCTCTCAGGCAGATCTTGCCTGTAGGACAGTGCCCCTAGGCTGCAGCTCTGACCTTTAGGAAAAGATGGAACAGAGCTTGGCTGATGCTACGCCCACTACCATGCACCAGGGTCCCCAAACCAACTAGGTGGGCAGGGGCTGGGCCCATGGGCTCTGGAATGGAGGGTGGGACCACTAGACCTGGGGTGGGGAGGGGCTAGGGGCACAGCCCCCGGGTCCAAGGTGTTCCAGAGTCCCCAGTTCAGCTGATGTAGATACGATGGAAGTCGTGGGCACCAAAGGCCGCGTTGCACTTGGGGCACTTCCTCTGCCGGGCCTCATAGCGGCCCCGCACACACTCGAAGCAGAATACGTGGAAGCACTTGGTAAGGACTGCATCCTTCTTGCGGGTGTTACAGCAGGGGCAGGTCAACCGCGCCTGGGCCAGGCAAAGGCATCAGCTTGGGAACAACTCTGACAGTGCCCAGACCCCAAGCTGACAGCAGGAGTAGTCCAGGCCAAGCCCACCACACAGGAGACTGCACCTCATCCTCCCGTAACCCTGAGGGTAGGGACGAGCACTCTATGAATGAGCAAACTGAGGCACAGGGGCCAAGTTCTCAAAACTAGAAAGTAGCAGAGTCTGGGATTCTAACCTGGGCAGTCATGTCTCCCCTCAAAAGGACAAGGACCCACAGGCCCAGCCTGGACTCTGCCTTGGGGCTTCATTTCTTGCCCCACTGGCCTTTTCTGGTGAAATCTCAATCTTGTCTACCTCTTCTTCACCTGCACTTGCTAAGTCACAGCTGGAATGGCAATGCCACTAGAAATCTGTTCTCTCTACACTCAACTGGGCTCAGTCCTGGCACTGGCCAGAGACCCTGCTATAGGTCCCTTCTTAGCCTGAGACCTCTCTTCTGCCACCTGGAGGGTCTCACCTCCAACTCCAAACATGAATTGACTCAACTTGGCATCCCCCAACAGTCCTCCTCTGACCTGCTAAAAGCCCGGCCCAGCCCGCCACCTCAGCAGCCTCCCTGCCATCACTCCTGTCTCCCAGGACCCTACGCACCAGCACTGAACAGGCTCGTAAGCCTGCCTCTACCTCATGGCTGCTTCCAGCTGCCTCTGCCCTTTAAGGCTCAACTGCTTCCAAGGGGTGACCAAGCCATACGTGGCTTCCACCTCTGCCTCTACTGAATTCCCCAACCCCATTCTTCAGCCCAGCCCTTCTGCCTTGAGCGAACTTCCTGGCCTCCCAAGAGGTCCCACAGGCACATTTTCAGCATCCTTTGACACCACTTCACAGAACCTCTCCTCCACAGGCCTCCTAACCTCCTAAATGGTACTGGCCATCCACCCAGTTTCTCAAACCAGGAACCTGGGATTCCTCCAAGTATTCCCTTTCCCTCACTCCATTCATTTGATACATCCCGAGTCCAAGCAATTCTGCCTGCAAAATGTCTCCTGAACCCATTTACTTTGGTTTCTGCCTCAGTGACTGCAACACCGTAACAATTTCCCTGCTGCCAGTCTACCTCTTCCAGCCCAAATTCAACAGCCAGTCTAACCACATTACTCTCCTGTTTAAAACCTTTTGGCTGGGCACAGTGGCTCATGTCTGTAATCCCAGAACTTTGGGAGGTCGAGGCGGGTGGATCACCTGAGGTTGTGAGTTTGAGACCAGCCTGACCAGCATGGAGAAACCCCATCTCAGGTAAAAATACAAAATTAGCCGGGTGAGGTGGCACATGCCTGTAATCCTAGCTACTCCTCAGGAGGCTGACAGGAGAATTGCTTGAACCCAGGAGGTGGAGGTTGTGGTAAGCCAAGATCGTGCCATTGCACTCCAGCCTGGGCAACAAGAGCGAGACAATGTCTCAAAAAAGCAAAAACAGAAACAAAAAAGACCCTTTGAGGTCTCGACCTGGCCTACTGCACCCTTCAGGAGGTGACACCACCTCTCCACACTGGCTCCTCTGACTACAACCTCCAGTGCTGTCCTGCCAACCCCTCCCCTCAGGCCTTCACATCTGCTGCTCCCCTTGCCTAAAGCCCCTCACCCAGTGAGGGGTGGCCACATCTGGCCCTTTCTTCCGGTCAGCTGCAGTGACATTCCCTCCAGGAAGCCTGCTGACCCCAGGGCCAAGGGAAGGGGCTCCCGTGAGTCCCCTCAGTCCCTCTGGACTCTGCCATCACATTACACATCTGGGATGAAGAAAATTATTTGGCTGCCTCCTCCCACAACTGACTGTCAGTTTCAAGAGGTTAGAGACCAGGGACAGTTCCTAGCCTCCCAGCCCACACCCAGCCAGGCACTGTGCCTGGTACACGGTCTGTGTGCAGCAAACACTTGGTCAGCATTTGACTTTACAACCACTGTGTTGTGCTGCCACTTTCTGCTGCCCTTTGTTATTTCCAGGGTCCCCTGACTCTCCACTATAGTCTCACCAATCCCACATCTACAATTCCCAGGTGGACAGGGCACAACTTGGCCCATAGCCCCACCTTGTACTCCTTGATCTCCTCCTGGAGGATTTCGTCGGCATCTGCGTAGACCTCCACCTTCCTCTGCTTCTCTAGCTTGCGCCGCAGCCGTGAGATGTCCTCCTGAGGCAGGAGAGGCCTGGCTAAGGACAAGGGTCCTCACCCTTAAGCCGCCTGCCCCCAGGCTAGGTCCAAGACCCTGGATCAATCTGGCCCAGCCCCTCACCCCTGCACACACCTGAGCTCTCTTGAGGTTGAAGCTCTCTTTCTCACGAGCAGCTCGGCTCTCTGCCAGGCAGGGCTGGATCTCCCGCAGCCGAGTCTGCACGTGCTCCAGCTGCACCTTCAGGTCCTCAGCCAGCTGGGCGGCTTCCACAGCCTGAAGAGTGTGGGACAGGAAGGAGGTACTACTGGTCTGACCCTGGGGATTCAGGCATGTGGAGCCATGGCCCACCAATGCTTGTGTCCAGTGCCCCAGTGACGCCTGCCCTGGAGCTGGTCCTGCTTCCTGAGCTCTGAGCCCTCCCCTCCTGTTCTCCCTCTCAAGTTCCTCCCCTGTGTGATGCTATCTGGTTTTTGAGACTTCACAGGGTTCTCCTCTCTGCTGCCCTCAACTCCAACACACACGCAGCTCCCCTGGGACTCAGCTCAAGTGTCACCTTCTGAGAAGCTCCCCTATTTTTCTTTGACAACACCTTGGATTCCTGAACATTTGCAATGCCCTGCACTATTTTATTTGGGGGATTACTGGCCTACTCTGCCTGCCAAGACCTGAAGTGACAGCTTTGACTGGAAGGCAAGCACCTTCTTGTTCCCACTGTCTCCACAGCAATCAGCACAACTCCTAGTACATAGCAGGGGCGTAAAACATACTGCTTAAATGAGCCAAGCGCAGTGGCTCATGCTTGTAATCCTAGCACTTTGGGAGGCTGAGGTGGGTGGATCATGAGGTCAGGAGTTTGAGACCACCCTGGCCAACACTGTGAAACCCTGTTCCTACTAAAAATACAAAAATAAGTTGGGCATGGTGGTGGAAGCCTGGCTACTCTGGAGGCTGAGGCAGGAGAATAGTATGAGCCTGGGAGGTGGAGGTTGCAGTGAGCTGAGATTGCACCACTCCACTCCTGCCTGGGCGACAGAGACTCATCTCAAAACAAAAAAAAAAACAAAAAAAAAACCACACATACACACACACATACTGCTTAAATGAATGAACTACTAGTGAAGTAAACAGCTTCGGAAGAAATGACAATCAATGTTAATTTTAAGCCTTTAGCCTAAGTTAGACATTTTTTATATTTAATACAACTATGTGACAGGGAACATCATCCCCACTTTACAGCTAACCAGTGAGTGGTTACAAGGGAGAGCATGAAGCTAAGGAGGCTTGAACCCAAATACCAGGGCCACTGTTTCTTGAGCAGATCAATCCACCTCCCTGAGCCTGTTTCCTTATTTATAAAATGAGGCTAAAAACAAAATCCATCTTTTTCCCCTACAGACAGAGTCTTGCTCTAGTCACCCAGACTGCAGTACAGTGGTGCGATAATAGCTCACTTCAGTCTCAACCTCCTGGGTTCAAGTGATCCTCTCACCTGTCAGCCTGTCACCTGAAAAGCTGAAATTACAGATGTGCACCACCACACTCAGCTAATTTTTAAATTGCTTGGTAGAGATGGAGTCTCACTATGTTGCCCAGGCTGGTCTCTAACTCCTGGCCTCAAAACCTCCCGCCTCAGTCTCCCAAAGTGCTGGGATTACAGGCGTGAGCCACCACGCCCGGCTCTAAACCTCATCTTGATAGAATCAGTGAGACTGAAATGTGACCAAGCACATCAAGTACTCAGCATGTGGTCTGGTAAATGTTCAACATGTGTGAACTGTTCTGTGAGAGCCTGGCTTCGTCCCAGGCCATCAAGTCAGGTGTTCTGAGCAGAACCGGAAGGTAAGGAGGTAAGTCAGCAGCCCAAGCTGTGCATCCCCCAGGCTGGGCCTCACCTTCCGTTTGTTGAGCTCTAGGGCTTGGCTGCGCAGTGTCAGCTCCTTCTCCACACCACCAAGGCTGCCCTGCAAGGCCCTCTCCTTCTCCTCCAGCTTCTGCACAGTCAGTAGCTGGGCATCCACCTGAGGACCAGAGGACGACTCAGGGCCACAACCCCCGGCTCTCTAGCTCGACCCTGCAAGCCGGAGGTGGCCATACCTGGGACTTGAGGCCAAGGACCTGCTCGCCCAGCTCATCCTTCTCTTCCCGCAGCAGCTTGTGAATCTGGTTGGCCTTGATCCGCTCTGACATCAGCTTAAAGTTAGCGTCGTCCTTCTCCCGCAACTGCTGTAGCAGCCGCCCGTTCTGTTCCTGCATGTCCTCAAAAGCCTGACCTGTCACATCCATCTCTGACAGCAGAGCCTCCTCCTCCTGCAGCAAGTGAGAGGGAACAAGATGAAACATGGGATGTGGACAGGATGGCTGTGAAGAACCATGGGAAAATGCAGCCAAGCAAGAACCACATAGGGGACTCAGACTATCAAGATGCTACAGGTGCTAGAGGTACCCAACAGGGTATGAGGGGATCTCTCTGCATTCAGACTCGAGGGCATCACAGGGCCTGTACCTGCTTCGTGGCACCCAGCTTGCGCTGCAGGTGTTCTATCTGCTCCTCTGCCTGCCGAATGCGCCGCAGGGCATCCTCGTCAGCAATCTTCTTGCTCTCCCTTCGATCCCTCTCCTCCAGTTCCCGGATGCGGCTCCGCAGCTCATCCACCTACAACACAGGGGAAAAGAAGCTCTCTTGGCACCTCTTCCTGCTGACCTAGGACTCCGTTCTGGCCTCTTTGAATGCCCCACAAGCCCCAGCTGCCCTCACCTCAGCCTTGGCCTTGCGTTCCGCTGCCATGAGCTGCACCTTATCCCGCTGCTCCTTGGGCGCAGACTTGTACATGTCCAGCAGCAATTTCATCTCCTTCTGGCTCTCCTGGGCCTTCCTGGCAAGAAGGTACAGGAGGAAGTCTTGGTGAGTGGGACTGGGGGCCACCTAGCAGGGTCAGGAAGAAGACAGGAACAGAGGCTCACTTGAGCTCCGCTCGGAGACCCTTGAGGAGTTCTGATTCCTTCCGCTTGGCCTCTTCCACCTTGGCCTTCTCCCGTTCGGCCCTTGAGAGAGCTGAAGCTACAGGTAGAGGTCCCAGGCTGGGACCCTCCCGTTCCCGAAGCTCCCGCTTCGGCCTGGCCTCAGGTTCTCTGCCCCGGAAGGAAGGACCCTGGGCCCCAGGGGTTAAGGCCTGGACATCCTCTTCAGAGGGGACCAGCTCCTCCTTCTTCACTGAGGAGGCAGTAGTGGTGGTACCAGGCATCGGAGCCATCTCCTTTCTGTTGTCAGGGATACTGACAGGGCCTGGCCCACCCTCCTCTTTCCCTGGGGCTGGGGCATTGAGGCCAGAGTCCTCTGAGTGGCCCACATTGGGGGTGGAGTGGGTAGAGCCACTGGGCTGGGCCCGGAGCTGCAAAGGCAGAGAGGAAGAGGCATGAAATGATAGTGTTCAATGGAATCTAGCCAAAGCTTTTCCCAGGCAGCCCCTCCTCACCTTGCCAATCTCAGCTTGTACTTCTCGAAGTTTCCGCTTGTATCGCTGGGCATCCCCTTTTAGCTGGTGGTTGTGGTTTTGAAGACTACTAATCAGATGGCGCATCTCACGGTTGATGGGCCCTGGGGGAGCATCAGGAAGGGTGTCAGAACCAGTTCCTGGGTTAGGGCTCCAACCCCTCAGTGGGGGAAGAGGCTGTGCCATCCACTTCCACTGTGCAGGAGAGAACATTATGGCCCTGACTGAGCATGACCTCATGAAAGTAAAAAATGGTGACTTCAAGGAAATTCACCCAAAGGTAACTGGACACTGCCTATTCATATGACTTTTGCTAACGTAGAGCATTTGTTTTTGTTTTGTTTTTTTTAAAATAGAAACAGTGTCTCACTTTGTTACCCAGGCTGGTCTTGAATTCCTGGCCCCAAGTAATCCTCCTACCTTGGCCTCCCAAAGTGCTGGGATTACAGGCATGAGCCACCATGCCAGGCCTAGGTTTTGGTTTGTTTTTTAATATATCCAATTTCCTTTAATAGAAAGGTGTAACATTCACAGAAGTTAATCAACTTCTAGATTCTTAAACATCACCTTGGCTGGGCGCGGTGGCTCACGAGGTCAAGAGATCAAGACCATCCTGTTCAACATGGTGAAACCCTGTCTCTACTAAAAATACAAAAAATTAGCTGGGCATGGTGGCACGTGCCTGTAATCCCAGCTATCTCTGGAGGCTGAGGCAGTAGAATTGCCTAAACCCAGGAGGCGGAGGTTGCAGTGAGCCGAGATTGCGCCATTGCACTCCAGCCTGGGTAAGAAGAGCGAAACTCCGTCTCAAAAAAAAAAAAAACATCACCATCCCTGTTATATTTCCCTGGCCTCCCATCCAAAATTGCAACACCTTTCTCCTAATACTTCCCATCTTCCTTTTCTGCTTTACTTTCCTTAGTTTATTTGTCAGTTGCTAACACATTTTCCATTATTCTTCTACTAGTCTGTCTTCCTCTAGTCTGTCTTCTCCTATTAGAATATTGCTCCACATGGCAGGAATTCCTTGTTTTGTTCACTGGCATAACCCCAAACCCTAGAGGAGAGCCTGGCTCCTAGGTGACATTTGATAAATCTTTTAACACAAGTATCTGAGAGAGAGAAAGACACCATCAGACCAGAGGACTGTGGACAAGGTTGACAGCTCAAAGTCTGCATGTGCCTGCTCCATCAGCCATCCCATTTGGTGTGACCCTCACTGTGCCTGGGAGCCAAGCAGTGCAGGCCCTCTTTTGCATAGGAAGCTGAAGTTCTGTGAAAGAAAGGGGCTTAGCCTCTTGCAAGTGGATAAGCAGCCCCACATCAGGGACTAGCACTCCCAGATAAAGCCCCACCTCTGCCCTATCCTCACCACATACCCGCCTGCTCGTTGGCCGCCAGATTCTGCTCAAACTCGATGCGCAGCATCTCATACTCCTTGCGTACCTGGGCCAGTGTGTCCTCCAGCTGGATGACCTCTGTGCGCAGCTTCTTCTGCAGCCCCAGCTCGTCGCTCTGTGGGTTGATGTGTTAAGGACCCACAAAGACCCTTGGTCCCACCTCAGGACTCAGTGGTTTAGGAAGAAATCTATTCTCCAGGAACCGCTGGCAGGCACACAGGGCCTCTGAAGCCAGGAACACCTCAACACTAAGGGTCTGGCCCTTAGCCCAGCCCCTATGCCTGTTCCAGGGCCATACCTCCATGTGCTCGATGTGTCGCAGGTGGGAGTTCTTGGTAGCCAGCAGCAGGCCCCGAGCCTCGTCCAACTGGGTCTTCACTTGCAGAGATTCGTTGTACAGCAGTGAAAACTGGGACTGCAGGACACGGTACTCTGTCGTCTCCCGCACCACCTCCTCAGGAAGGCTCCGCAGAGCCACCTAGGGGTAGGGATGCCCAAATGGGATCAGTAAGATTCAGGGCTCAGCCCCTCCCTTCCAGGCACAGACCTTCTCAGCCCCTATGGCAGCCCACCTTGAGGCGCTCATTGGTCCGCACAGCCCCCTGAAGTTCGGCCTGCAGTTTCTCCAGCTCTGCCATGCGGCTGTTGGCCAATTCTTGGTTTTCCTCCAACTCTGCATTCAGCATCTCAAACTACAGAGTGGGAGGCAGGGAGGTGGGGCCAGGTGTGGCAGTAGGCCTCCCTTATATCCCCACCATACACTCTACCCCAACTGCCCCTGTGCAGGGCAGTGATTGATTCTGATGCCCCAAACCAAGGACTTTCCTAAGGGCTCCCAGACAAATTGGAGAAAATTCAATACTGCATGGTCAGAGCTGGGAACTAAGGCTCTTAACTGATAGGGAGTCAGGGAAGCATTTCAAGAAGCCCTAAAGTGACAGTAAAGGGAAAAAGGGCACAGTGACCACCGGATGCCAACTGACTCCAACTCACTTCCATCTCTCTCTTCTGTACTTTACCTTTGTGGTACTCATAACAAACTGATACATTATTTCACTGATTTCTTATCTGCTACCACAAGTAGAATCTAAATACATGTTCTTTTATTTATTTCCTGTCTGGTCCATGAAAGTTTTGACCTCTATTTTGTTCTTGCCAATATGCCTACTGACTAACACAAAGTGTTCAAAAATTTACTCAACAAGTATATGAATGCATGAAAAAAAGAGCAGCAGGAGTGACCAGGAAGGGCCTCAGCGGTGGATGTTTGTCCTTCGTCCTGAGGGGAATTTCAAGGGTGCAACAGAGAAGAGATCATGGGAGGGGCTGGGAAGATGTCACTCACCTTCTGCATGCTGAGTGTGATCTGCCCCCCCTGGAAGCCTGAGGAGCTCCCAGACACATAATAGCCAGAGTTAAGCTGGGGAGAGAAGACAGGCAATGAATGTGGAGGGGAGGAGCTAGGACCCCAGCACCCAGCCCTGTCTCACCTGCCCCAGCACCTCAGCCCCACCTGCTCTAAAGCCTCAGCCAGGTGCTTATTGAGCTTTTGCTCTCGCTTCCGCAGCTTCTCGATGTCCCACTGCAAGTCCTCCACTGTCGTCTCCATCTCCAACACCTTGGTCTCTGCCGATGTAACTTTATCCTGAAGCTCAGAGTACTGGGAACAATGAGGAAGCAGATGCTTGAATGGGGGACTTGGTTCCTGAGGTCCTTGAGTGCCCATCTAACCCAATTCCTGTCTCATTCTAATCCCACCCCCAAAGCCCCTGACTCCTCACCTCCAATGAGATGCGGTGATGCTTCTCCTGCAGCTGGGTGGCCAAATCCTGCAGCCGCCGGTTCTCACGGCCCAGCTCTCGGGTGCGTGCCCGAGCTGCCTCACTGAGGGGCTCGCTGTCCCCTGGAAAGGCAGGGCCCAGGTAAGAGCCCAGCTCAGGGCAATGGGGCAAAGTACTAACTTATTCTGGAGTCTGCTATGTGCCCAGTGCGATCGATCAGCTGTCTTGCCAATTTCTCACGACAAAGTCAAGAGTCTTTATCCCCACTGCACAGCAGAGGAAACCAGCTCAAAGAGGGGAGCCACTTTCCCAGCATGTCCAGGTGAGGGTGGCAGAACTCAAGTGGGAGAAGCCTGTCAACCTGAAAGACCTGAGGCTTTGATGCTATGCCATGTGCAACCCGCACAAAGTACTCCAGAGAGGTTCTACCAGCATCAACAACTCCTCCAACCCATCTCTCTAGCATTCAATCCAGGAATCAAAGCTGGAGCCTCCATTTATAGCCTAACTTATCCTCCCAAACACATGGCTTATTTATGCCTTGGGAAATTCTGGCCACCCTTGGACTCAGGCCTTAGGGGAATTGGGAAGGAATGCCATTAAGATGCAGGTGGAGATGGACACCTCTTGAGTATGGGTATAAAGAACCAACCTCGGCTGTACACTCGCTGACAGAGTTCCTCCACCCGGCGCTGTAGGCGGTCTGAGGCCTCTACCACACGGGACACAGCTGCCTTGGAGAACTCCATTCGGCCTTGCAGCTCCAGCTCCACCTCCTCACTGCTGCTGGCACCCAGTGCCACCACAAAAGCCAAGGCCGGCTCACTGAGAGGGGGCCGCAGCTGCATTGGCAAGGGCTCTGGGAGGAATGGACAGACCCTCATGAGGATAAGCAGTAGTTATCACCACTCTGTACCAAGTTTCAGACTGAGCCCTTCCATACTCATGACTCACTTAATCAACACAACTATTATCTCCATCTTAAAAGTGAGACAAATGAGGTTCAGAGACATAAATAATTTCCTCAAAATTACCAGGACCAGGAAGGGCCTCGGAGGTGGATGTCTGTCCTTCGTCCTGAGGCACAATTACCACCAAAGCTACAGAATTGCATATCATGTTCTCAGGGAAGCCTCCTGTATCATGTACTTATGGAAGCCTCCTGAGGGACAGTTACCACCAAAGCTACAGAGCTGTGTAACATGTCCTCAGGGAAGCCTCCTGTACTTTCCCATTGTAAATTACGAACTCACAAACACACACATGCATGCACACAGTTACTCCCTTTTGGGAGCCCCAGTACTTTTTGCTTACTATGTTTATGATAATTCCTCCCTCATAGCAATTGCAATACTCATTTCTAAAGCAGCGTCAAATACATAGTCAATGCTCAACAGTAATACTGTTTTGAAACAAATGGGTGTCAAAACATAAATTGCTCTACAAACCAAGTTAGACTCCAAAGGCTGTGTTTTTGTGCACTGCACTTTACTGCCCAAATATGAAATCCATTTCGTGGGGAGTAGTAAGGCAACAAATTCAGGCGCTCAACACCAAAGTCCCCTCCTCCCCAGGGCTTTTCCCAGAACTTAAGCTCCCCAGAACCCAGGACTCTGGTCCTACCCCTCAACTCTGATGTTCCTGGCTCTGGAAGAGGAGTCCCATCACATGTTAGCCCCTCCTGGGTCCCAGGTGCCTCAGGCACTGAAGACAGCTCCCCCTGGCTCTCATGGCATCGGAGAAGGGCTTCCACAGTTTCATCCAGCTGAAAGGAGAAAGAATCAAAAAGGTTATGAATACCTCAGTGCTTTCCCGCATGATACTGCTTTCCCAGCAGGGGAATCTGAAGATTGGCAGCTAAATCAAGGCCTGGTCTTGGAAAGCAGAAGGCATCCACCTGGGCCCAGTAGCGATTGACAATGAAGAGTGTGGCATCATCTGTGGCCTGCCGCTTCTCCAGCTTCTCAATTCGTTCTCGGAGTTCATCTTCACAAGCCTGTCGCTGTTCCAACCGCTCTGCCAGTTTCTTGTTCTTGAACTGTAGTACCTTCAGGTCCATCTCCTCCTACCAAGGGAAACAAAGGGGTCAAGTAGGAGAGAGAGGGTCAAGCAGGGCCAAGAAACCAATCACAGAGACAGAGGAGCAAAGCATCTGGAATGCATGGGAGATGGGGGTTTTCCCAGACTAACCGCTAACAGAATCTAAGGAGGTTCAGACAACCCACAGCGAAAGTGTCTTGGTTGTGAGGAGGCTCTCGTTGTTTTCTGCCTGGCCCCTTCTAACTCCTTAGTCTTTGACAAATCACACGCCCTCTGGGAACCTGTTTTCCTATCTGTAAAGGGAAGACAGGCGTCGTGTTCTCAGATTCTTTCAACAGAGTATCTTGTATATCTCGTAACGCGTACCTTGCTAAACGAGGGGAAGTGGGTTTAAGACTCTGGACAGTTTAGGCAGAGAATAGGAGGACTCTGACAAGTTCTGAGTGTTAAGGCAAGAGCCCACGAACCGTGGAAGAGATGCCTCCCAGACGAATGGGCTCGATAAGAGTGGTGGTGGTCTTCTCCTCACGACTCAACTTCTTCTCCGGAGGCCCTGAGCCCCCGTCGCCGGCGGCGCGTTTGTTGCCTGGCCCAGACATGGCCGCAGCGGCAGGAGCGGCGCAGGGTCCTCTGAGGGGCGTCAGGCGGGAGAAGGCAGTACTTCCGTCACCTGCAGAAGACAGGGAGCAGAGATGTGGGAACTGCTGGTGCTCTACAACCCTAAATAACCTCCACTACGCGAACACCTGCTGGATCCCGCCCCCGCCGGCGCCAGAGCCCTCACCGGCAACAGGGTCAGTCTAGCGTAGCCATCTTGGATTTCACCGGACGTCACTGGCCTCCCCGCCCCCCGGTGCGCAGAACGCCGGCGCCAGAGGCAGCACCGGATGTGAGGAAACGTCTTTATCTTCTGAATCTATTGGTTACACTTGGTCCCACCTCTCGGGTGCTTTGGCTTCTTCCCAAACACCTCCTCTTTCTCTCGGTGATTGGCCGAGAGGCAGTTCCCATGGTAACTGACACCGCGCTCCCACTTCCCAGCTTGGAGAAGACTTCCGGCAACTAGGACGAGAGGGCGCCCAGGTGGGCGCTCGCAACTTCTTACGTATCTGCGCGTTCGCTACTGGCGTGAGCCTGCATTTTCCGCCCTCCTTCCCTCGCAAGCACCCTTGGCAACCGTCGCCGTTGAGACAGAGGGAGACGCCCCAACGGATTGGCCCCGCCGCGCCTCTCCGCCAGCAGACTGGCCAGACCGAGGCGAGCGCCCGGCCTTGGCAGCCGCAGACCGAGAACTGGCTGTCCCGGAACCGAGGGGCGGGAGCTCGGGGCGTCCTGCAGCACAGTAAGAGCGGCGAGATGCTCAACCGCAAAGCCAGCCACTTCCTGGGAATGAGGGTGCAGTCGGAGCTTGAACACCTCTCCGAGCTGCGGCGGGAAGCCGGGAAGGATCGCAGATCAGTGCGTGGTTCAGCCGCGCGGACGCGAGCAAATATACGGAACCAGTCGACAGCGGCGGCGGCGGCGGCGGTGGCGGCAAAAGCGGATGAAGACCGTGGAGCCAACTTGTTCCCGGTGAGGGCAGGACAGTCTGGTCCGCTCGTGAATATTTATAAACAGGTTCCCCCGCAGGCCCCACACGTCATTATGTTTACTAACGTTCGGGACGTCTCCCGGGCTGCCTGGACGAGGAGAGGCAGGGGTGTGTGACCCTCGTGGTTACTGTGCTCGCGAAGAGCACTTGGGGCCTGCTGAAGCCCGCCCTTGCCCGCGCCTCTCCTTCTAAGTCCTTGAGATAGCAAGTTACATACAGCGCGTTCTTGTGCCCGCTGGAGATTTGCCATGGGCCAGGACACCGTAGCTCTGCCTCCCCAATTCGCTTTCTTTCCGCAGCCGCCGCTGCCCCGGCCCCAGATCTGCATGTGGTGAGTGTGAAGAGACTTGAAGAAAAGTTACACTGAACACTTGCGTTCTTCCTTCATTGTCTCCCCAACAGTCCTGTCTTGTGGCCAAGGCATCCCCATTTTACAGATGAGGAGGCAGGCCTGGAGATGCAATTATTCCAGGTGACTGGAAGCCAGCTTTCCAGCCTCCCCAGTCCAAAGAGGTGGTGTGAGAAAAAAAGAGCCAAAACACCATGGAATATTATGCAGCAATCAAAAACGATGAGTTCGTGTCCATTGTAGGGACATGGATGAACCTGGAGAACATCATTCTCAGCAAACTGACACAAGAACAGAAAATGAAATACCGCATGTTCTCACTCATAGGCGGGTGTTGAACAATGAGAACACATGGACACAGGGAGGGGAGCACTACACACTGGGGTCTGTTGGGGGGAATAGGGGAGGGACAGCATGGGGAGAAATGGCAGATATAGGTGAAGGGGAGGAAGGCAGCAAATCACACTGCCACGTGTGTACCTATGCAACAATCTTGCATGTTCTTCACATGTACCCCAAAACCTAAAATGCAATTAAAAAAAAAAGAGCCAAAGACAGGATGTAAATGGGATCTTATAGCCGCTATGGAATATTGTACAGAGGTGGACACTGAGGGCCACAGGGGGACTTGACCAAGGTCATACAAGGTAGTGGCAGAGCAGAAAAAAGAACTCAAGATTTCTAACCCTAGGCTTTAGAAATGGAGAGACTCGTAAGAGTTCATTTAGTTCCAGAGAGGTAATGATTTGCATAGTTACACAGCAAGTTGGCAAGAGTCCAGCTTCATGCCAGTGGCCTGACTCCCTGTCCTATGCTCTAGCTGTCACAGCCCTGTCATGATATGCAATGCCACCAATACTTTTTCTTTTCCTATAACAGGAAGTACCTGGACATCCACTCCATGCACCAGCTGGAGAAGACCACCAATGCTGAGGAGATGAGGGAGTAGGGACTGAGTGGGATGGGAAGAGCTCTTGGGAAAGGCTGAGGGGGTCGGGTTGGGAAGACATGAGGAATGGCTGACTCCAAAGCATGTGGTGGGTGTGGGGTGGTGAAAGGAGTTTCCAGTTGTCACTCACTCCTCTATCCCTCCCAAGGGTGCTGGCTGAGCTGTTGGAGCTAGGGCGTCCTGAGCAGAGCCTACGGGATGCCATCACCCTGGACCTCTTCTGCCACATGCTCATCTTCTGCCGCCAGCAGGGCTTCTCACTGGAGCAGACATCAGCAGCTTGTGCCATGCTCCAGGATCTTCACAAGGCTTGTATTGGTGAGAGGGGGCAGCTACCAGGAAGTTTGAGCCCCAGGGAGAAGAGGAAGCAGAGCTGGCACAAGTGACCATGGGAAGCAGAAGCAGATTTCTGCCTGGATTCTGTCATTACTAGTAGCATTATCACACACAAGCCATCACCTTTCCAATTCACTACTTTCTTATCTGGAAATTAAGGATACAGCACACATTTTACAGGACTGTTCTGAGAAATAATATATGCAAATATATGCATAATGCACAATAAAACCTGCTTCAGAACGTTTAATAGCTGCTGCTTCGGAATGTTTAATAGCTGAAATGATCTATTTCTTGGTTTATTGCATGGCTCTTCCACTAAAATATAAACTTCGTAAGAGCAGGAATTGTCTTGTTCAGTGCCTAAAACAGCATACAGTAGGCATATAGTGGGTATTCAATATTTGTTACATGAGTTAAGGAAACAAGGCAGGGCTGAAACCCAGATCCGTCTGCCTCTGAAGCTTATGGTCATAAACAGCTTTTGAGTGAGGTGAATGAATGGATATCAGAGAGGGCCTTACTGTCACATCTTGCTTTCCCTACCAGCAACCCCCTTGGGCAACGTGGAGGAGTGCTACCGCTACTTCACCAGTGTCCTTTTTTGCCATGGAGTCAGGGTCAGTTCCCCTAGAACATTCTGGAATCTTTACCCATCCCCACACAAGATCTAGCCTAGTCTCTCTCATGTTTCTCACCTTTATCTTCCTCTGAAGACCCCAGCAGGTGCTCCCTGCTCCTAGATTGCTGGGCTTTTGGAGGCAAAGCCAGGGCTCTGGGAGGTAGTTAGGGTTCTAACTCCCAGTCACCACCACAGCGGCCTCCTTTCAGCATCGATCTCTTCAAGGAGGAACAACTGCTGGCCCTGGAAGACTACGTGGTCAACACTTACTTCCGCCACTTCAAGCTCTATAAATTCGTCTTCACATCCCAGGTAGTGGGTGGTGGACCATGAGAGGCAACTCTCAACCTCCCCTTTCCCTCAGCGCAGGTGCCCTTCTCTCAGCCTACCTCTTTCTTGCTTCCCAGGTGCGGCTGGATCTATCTTTGACTTATATGGGGCTACAGCCACCTATACTGTGGCCAGAGAGTGAGACAGGTAAGGGAGAGTGCCAGGGCAGGGCCGGGCAGGCTTGGGCTGGGCCGGGCCTGGGGCCACAGTCTCTTCTTGCTTCTGGTTTTCAGAGAAAGAAAAAAGCAAGGAGGTGGAGGAGCAGGCACTTACCCCCCAGGAAGAGGAACTGGAGACAGTGGCCCCTCCAGAGCCAGAGCCAGAGCCAAAGCCAAGTGAGGATCTGGAGGGGGCAGGCTGCCCTATCCCTCTGAGCAGGTGTAGAATGAAGGGTTTAGATCACATCAGGACTTCAGATTTTTTGTTTTTAGTCATACAGTCCTTTCTCCAAATGATCACTTATGTATAAGTCCAAGATGACAGAAAAAAGCACAGCTGCAGGCCAGGTGTGGTGGTTCATGCCTGTAATCCCAGCACTTTGAGAGGTCGAGGCAGGAGGATTGCCTGAGCTCAGGAGTTTGCAACCAGCTTGGGCAACATGGTGAACCCCTGTCTCTACCAAAATACAAAAAAATTAGCCAGGCATGGCGGTGTGCGCCTGTAGTCCTAGCTACTTGAGAGGTTGAGGCAGAATTGCTTGAACCCGTGAGGCGGAGGTTGCAGTGAGCTGAGATCATGCCACTGCACTCCAGCCTGGGTGACAGAGCAAAACTCCATCTCAAAAAAAAAACACACACACAGCTGTTTAGGGTGGGGCAGAAGAGGTGACTCCAGAGAAATTATAATTAGAAAGCCAGTAACAGCCAGCACATACTTGGCAATTGGTGTGCTGTGCATGCCCTGCTCTAAGCATTTTACATACTGATTTAATCCTCCCTCAAGTGTATGTGCTAGGTATCATTATTATCCACATTTCACATGAGGAAACTGAGGCACAGATAGGTTAAATAATCTGCCTAAGGTCATACACCTACTGAGTAGGGACCAGAATTTGAATCTGCAAAGTCCAGCACAGCCACCCTAACCAACTGCCTCTCACAAATGGCTGGCTGACATTTCCTAAAGGGAAGCAACACTCCCACCTGTATATCCCCCAGGGGAACTTTGGGGGCTGTGTTTGCCCAGCTAGGGACCATCCCCCATTCCCAAACAGCATCTCCTCTTGACCCATCCCTTCTTCCCTGCCTGTGCAGGCCACATCCAAGTCCTCCAAGCCTACATCAAGACCCAAGTGAACAAGGAGCTGGATCAGCTCCAGCGGCTGGTGGAGGAGCAGCTCAAGGCCAGCGAGGAAAGGCTCAACAGCAAGTTGACTGCACTAGAGCGGCCCTTCCAGCTACCTCCCGGTAAAGGCAAGAGCAAGACTAAGTGACCCCCAGCATTTTCTCCAATAAAGGTCTGGACTAGAATGGCCCCATCCCTGCACCTTGCTGAGTATCTTCTGGGCTTTCCTGCCCAAGCCAGACAGCAGACACAGGGGTCCCACTCTCCCTGGCATGTAGCGGATTTTATTTCATATGTAGTGCAGGCAGCACTGACCGGGCCAGGCATGGCATTCAGAGTGGCTCCCTTCCACCCAGCTCTGATCTCAGAGCCCTGGCCAGTGGGGAGAGAAGTGCCAGGCTGGTCTTTAACAGGGTAGTGGGATTAATGGTGGGCCTGAGGCCAGAGCCCAGAGGGGCTGGAATGATCAAACCCTTCTTCTAGAGAGTTCTGCTTCCTGGGAATCCCTGGCGTTGAGGTCCTAGCCCAGCACCAGTGCAGCCTCATCCTCAGTTATAGCAGTAGAGTCTCCCTCCTCTTCGGGGCCCATGACGGGGAAAGGCCCAGGGGGCCGGTGCTGAAAGAGAGCCGCCCGGTTCTGCTGCTCGCCTTTCTTCACCCAGTGCCCATAGAGCCGGAAGGCACAGTTGTCAATGAGGCGCCGCACTGACCGCAGCGCGTAAGGGTCCCTCAACAGTGCATTCTTGGTCAGCGGCCGTACGCGATGGATGCTTAGGGCCACTCGTCCAGCAGCCAGCACTGTCCACACTGCCACCTGGGAAGGGAATCAGGGTGAGCTCCAGCACAGGGAAAAGATCACAGGACAGAAGCATGGGCCCAGACCCTGACACTCTCAGGCTTACCCGGAACCGCTGGCGGGGGGTGAGGTTCCAGGCTTGGCTGCCTTCACAACGCTCAAAGAAGGGGTGCTGTAGGGCCTGCTCAGCTGTCAGGCGTGCCTCCGGATCCACCTGCAGCAGCCTGGCGATCTAGGAGAGACCCAGAGCATGAGGGGCAGTTCTTGGGCTTTCCCCCATGTCCTTTCAGCCCCAGCTCACCAGGTCTTTGACAGTGCTGGAACGGTCGTCCCACTCAGGGGAACTGAACTGGTACTGGCCCTCCATGATCATGCGTAACATCAGGATCTGCCGCCGATGCCAGAAGGGTGGCGAGCCAGCCAGGAGTGTGAACAAGATCACCCCACAGGCCCAGCTGGGAAAAAGACCGGAGTCAGGTGGGACTGGTTGATGGGCAGACATGGCAAAAGACAGCAAGCACAGGAGGGAGGGGGAGACCAGGAACTCACAGGTCGACCTCTTTGCTGTAGCCTGGGTGGGTTTCATCCATGGAGCATTTAAGGATCTCTGGCGCTAGATACCCTGGGGTCCCACACAACTCTGGGGAGAGAGGACCAAGATTGAGAGGATGCCACCAGCCCCTCCAGGGCCCTTAGCACTGGATATCTGCTGGAGCCTCCTCAATGCTGCTGGAACCACCATTGTTCCCATCCTGCTGCCTGCCTTCTGCCAAGTCTCCTGCCAAGGCACTATCTCTGCTCAACAACTCAAGTACCCACCACGATCCTGGTGGCCTTCCTAGAAAAACCTGAATTTTGGGATTGATTTAAAGGTCCTGTCCAACTGTATAATTTGCCTCCTCCAACCCTACCTACCCACTATCCAAGCCAACCTACCCACTCCTCACACAACTTAGCGACCTTAGTTTTACACATATCGTAATGCATATGGAAAGATTATATTTTTACATATATCACAATACATATGAAAAAAATTTTTCTGCATTCCTATCTGCCCAAACCTCTTCCTCCTCCTATAATCTCCAACCATCACTCAGCCCAAGGGGAACAAGTGGGGATAGGGAGTTTATATTAAATTACATAATGGGTAAGTCCCTTGTTTAAAACTCTTCCCTGGGCCTGGTGCAGTGGCTCACACCTGTAATCTTAGCATTCTGGGAGGCTGAGGTGGGTGGATCATGAGGTCAGGAGATGAAGACCATCCTGGCCAACATGGTGAAACCCCATCTCTACTAAAAATACAAAAATTAGCTAGGCATGGTCACGCTACCTGGGAGGCTGAGGCAGGAGAATTACTTGAACCAGGGAGTTGGAGGTTGCAGTGAGCCCAGATTGCACCACTGCACTCCAGCCTGGTGACAGAGTAAGACTCTGTCTCAAAAAAATTTTTTAAAAACCCTTCCCTGATTCCATATCATGACACATGATCAATCTACAGTTCTAAAGCTCAGAGCCCTCCAAAACTTTATCCACGTCTGTATTTTTATAATTTATTTATTTTTATAGAGAGGGTCACTATGTCACCCAAGCTGGAGTACAGTGGCACTATCACAGCTCATTGCAGCCTTGGGCTCCTAGGCTCAAGTGATCCTCCTCCTTCAGCTTCCCGAGTAGCTGGGATGACAGATGTATGCCACCATGCCAGGCTCTTAAGTCTGTATTTTTAGTTTGTTCTTCCACTCGGGCACCAATTCTTCCAGTAATTTCTGAACTGTGTTCCATGGCACACTTCCAGTAGATTTTAACAACCCCAAATTGCAACTGACTTTCTTGGGAAATTCATTCCTATCCCAAGTATTTATTGAAGAATGTGGCATTGATTCACCAGTGGCAAATCAGATGTGCCCTTACCAAGCTCACTGTCCACCTGAAGGCAAGCAAGAAATAACAACAGGGCTGGGCCCAGTAACTTACGCCTGTAATCCCAGCACTTTGGGAGGCCAAGGTGGGTGGATCACAAGGTCAGGAGATAAGAGACCATCCTGGCCAACACAGCGAAACCCCTTCTCTATTAAAACTACAAAAATTAGCCGGGCATGTTGGCACGTGCCTGTAGTCTCAGCTACTCAGGAGGCTGAGGCAGGAGAATCACTTGAACCCAGGAAGTAGAGGTTGTGGTGAGCTGAGATCTGGCCCTTGCACTCCAGCCAGGGCAACAGAGTGAGACTCCGTCTCAAAAAAAAAAAAAAGAAAAAGAAATAACAATACAGTAAGACGTGTTGTGAATGAAGAAGATAAGACAACAAAAACCAAGGGGACCTAAGTTGCCCTGGAGGTTTAAAACCTGAATTGCCCAAGCCAAGGGTGAGGATGGAGTGGGCAGAGGCAAAGATGATTCCAGAAAGGGGAAACGTACATGTGTAAGCCCAAAGGGTTTTAAAGCATAATATCCACCAGACACGTAAGTCCACAGATTAAGAGTACAAACTCTGGAATCAGACTGTCCAAGTTCAAATCCTGGCATTAGGACCCTGGAGAAGTCATCTCACCTCTTTGAGCCCATCTATTAAAAAGGAAAAACAAATACTATCTGTCACACAGGGCTGTGGAGAGGATTTAGGGGAATAAGCCATGTAAAGACTGATGCCGGCCTGGCACAGTGGCTCACACCTATAATCCCAGCACTTTGGGAGGCTGAGGCAGGAGATCACTTTAAGTCAGGAGTTCGAGACCAGCCTGGCCAACATGGTGAAACTCCAACTCTACTAAAATACAAGAATTAGCTGGGTGTAGTGGTGGGCACCTGTAATCCCAGCTTCTCAGGAGGCTGAGGCAGAGGAATAGCTTGAATCCAGAAGGTGGAGATTGCAGTGAGCCAAGATCATGCCACTGCACTAGAGCCTGGGTGAGAGAGCGAGACTCCATCTCAAAAAAAAAAAAACAAAAAACGACTGGTGCCTGCCTCACAGTGAATGCCCAGTAAAGAGTAGCTTTTCATAAGTTCAGTGCAAAGCCACTGAGGGAGAAAGTCTCTGAAGGCTCTGAAGAATCCCATAGGTGAACTGTATTTGAAGTTTCCCATTTGTACTAGAAATGTTCCTGTCATGACAAATGTATTCACATCAGGTGAGCCTGAGGCCCAGGGCCCAGGTAGGAAGTGCAGCCTGGACACATCACATCAGGTTCCTGTGGTCCTACACCCCAGACCCCAAACGTGGCTGAGCATGGCTCTGCCCTGCTCCCCACTTTTTTTTTTTTTTTTTAAGAGATGGGGTCTCGCTGTTGCCCAGGTTGGAATGCAGTGGCTATTCACAGGCGCAATCCCACTACTGATCAGCATGGGAGTTTTAACCTGCTCCATTCTGATTTGGGCCTGTTCACCCCTCCTTAGGCAACCTGGTGGTCCCCTGCTTCCAGGAGGTCACCATATTGATGCTACACCTGATCGGCATAGCGCACTACAGCCCAGAACTCCTGGCTCAAGTGATTCTCCCACCTCAGCCTCCCAAGTAGCTGGGACTACAGGCATGCGCCACTGCGCCCAGCCTTGCTCCCTTTTTTACCTCTGTGGGGATCAGGCTGAATCAGCATTCCTTCCTCCAGGCTCTCCTGGCATGGCCCTCTGCCACTTGTCAGTCTCCATCCTCCCCAGGTCAGGAAGCCCACTCTGAGGTAAACACACGCCTTGCGCCCAGAGGGTACTTGGGAAGTGCTCGCCGACTTTTCCCTTTTTCTTGGCACCAGGGACTCGGTACTCAGACCCAGCCAACCAATGTCATCAGGCCTGGGTCTCCCCTCCCAAGCCTATTAGGACACCAGATCCCCTCACCTCGTAGCTTCTCGCCAGGTTCCAAGTGACAGGAGAACCCGAAATCTGAAAGTCGGATCTGCATATTGTCATCTAGGAGAATATTCTCGGGCTTCAGATCTCGATGCACAATGTTGTTGGCATGGAGAAAGCTCACTGCTTCCAGCAGAGACCGCATGATGGACCTTGGGTGGGGGTAGGGGTGCAGTCTCCTCCTTTGCTCCTCCCTGCCCTGCCCCACCCCCTGCTCACCCCAGGGACTACAGGCTCAACCCTTACCTGGTTTCCTTTTCTGAGAGGGCCACCTTCTCTGTGAGATAGTCAAACAGCTCTCCCTTCCGCATCCTAAGGGAAGGAGGGGCATAGGAAGCAGCTGCACCCCACAGTAGGGGCTGAAAAAACAGACCAGTGCTCATGTAAAATATCGTGGAAGAGGCCACTAAAGAAAGATTCCTCTGCAGACAAACCAAAGAAAGGGTCTAGAGACACAGCACTCCAACAAGTCAGTTTGGCCCGGTGTGTTTGCAGCTGAAATATCTGTATTATGCCATGATGGGGCAATTGTAGCAAAAATGAGTTGTCTGTGACAATAGTTTATAGGAGGTTCTTGTTGTCTGAGAATATACCTGAAAAAGGCCTCTCAGCATAAATTTATAAAGAAAATGAACTGGCCAGGCTTAGTAGCTGATGCCTGTAATCCCAGCACTTTGGGAGGACAAGACAGGCGGATCACCTGATGTCAGGAGTTCGACAACAGCCTGGCCAACATGGTGAAACCCCATCTCTACTAAAAAAAAAAAAAAAAAAATTAGCCAGGCGTAGTGGTGGGCACCGGTAATCCCAGCTACTTGGGAGGCTGAGGCAGGAGAATTACTTGAACCCGGAAGGCAGAGGTTGCAGTGAGCCAAGTTTGCACCACCGCACTCCAGCCTGGGCGACAGAGCAAGACTCCATCTCAAAAAGAAAGGAAAATAGACCAAAATTTCAGTCTTTTGTGGCACAAAGGTTGAATCGGACCTTATTTTGAAATTCTGTCTTTAAAACCTGAGGTTATAATCATGTGCCCGTTAAAAATAATGCTTTCAAAATTGAGGTTATAGTTGCAACTCTGCCTCAGTCCTCAAAGTCATTTATCAGGTGCTGCTTTGGGGAGTGCCCTCACTTTGCAGGGCTGCAGGACAGCATAACAGACATCCCTACTTCCCCTGACTTCTGCAGAGGGTAATTTCTGTAAATATATGGAAAACTTCATAAACTTTTAAATCTTTGGAATTCAAATCATTGTCTTTTGAAATACCTTTGCAATTGGTTTGCATTATACTGTGTAACATCTGACATTCAGATTCTGACCAGAAAAATAACTGATGGGCAGAGACAGACACCGGAGTAGTTAGTGTGTTAAGCAGTGTGAGAGGCTGGTGAGCGAGGATCTATTTTCTAAGTGGTCAGTCCACTGCTGAACACTCTCAAAACAGCTTTCCCCCTTCTAACCTTATCACCATGGGGAACACTGGGTAAGTGACCACTTCGGTCATGAGAACTCTATATATTGACTAGTCAATACTACTTTCTTTCTTTTTTTTTTTTTTTCTTTTTCTTTTTGAGATGAAGTCTGACTGTTGCCCAGGCTGGAGTGCAACGGCATGATCTTGGCTTACTGCAACCTCCGCTTCCCAGGTTCAAGCGATTTTCCCACCTCAGCCTCCCCAGTAGCTGGGACTACAGGTGTGCACCACCACATCTGGCTAATTTTTTGTAATTTTAGTAGAGACAGGGTTTCACCATGTTGGCCAGGCTTGTCTTGAACTCCTGACCTCAGGTGATCCACCCACCTCAGTTTCCCAAAATGCTGGGATTACAGGCATTAGCTACCACACCTGGCTGGTCACTATTACTTTTAAAGAATTTGCCTCAATCATGGCACTGAGGAAGAAGACCAGAGCCACAGGCTAGCAGGCAGGCCCGGGTGATAGAGCCCCAGCTGGAGCAGGAAGGTGTGAGGAGGATGCCACTGAGCAACAAATGCTGGGCTATACATGGAGGCCCAGCACATGGAGGTGGGGAGGAGGCTTCTCATATGGTGGCAGGGAGATACTCACAGGTCAAACACCAGGAACATGAAGCTAGAAGACTCGTAGGAATCGATGAGGGTGACTGGGGAGAGAGGAAGAGAGGCAGAGAGACAGAGATGGAAAGGAGTGGATGCAATATTAACAGTGCTAGGCCACCCTGGGATAGCAGCGGGCTGTTACTGGGAAGGAAGGAGAACCAGAGGAGACAGTCGGGGCCCAACAGCTGGTCACTCTTTAGTGGAATGAAGCCAGAAGGAAGGGAGGAGAGGCGTGGAGGCAATGTTGGGAGAACGTGGGCTATGGGCAGGGCCAGGAGGAGGTCGGGGGATCGTCTGCTAACAGGAGCAAAGAAGACAGCCTCACTGATGTGGGGGTGGCCGGCGACCTGGCGAAGGATGTGTGTCTCTCGCCGTGTGGCTTCCCGCACCTCCTCCAGCTGCTCAGGACTCAGCCGTTCAGCTGTTACTTCCATAATCTTCACAGCAAACTCATGGCCAGTAGCTCGATGAACACAACGGCGGACCACAGAGCTTACTCCTCTGTCAGAGCCAGATAACGGCACAAGTCAGGGCCTCTGCACTCTCATTTCAGCACAGGCTGGGGCTTCAGCATCCTCATGCTCACTATGCCAGACTCTGAAGACCCATCTGGACCATGGGCGACAAGCTTAGGAGCTCACCCTGGCTTCACAGCAGCCTCAGGAACCTAGGTACCCAGCAAGGCGCAACACAAAGCCCACAGGGAAGGCAGGTAGGGCCTGGGTTCAAATCCAGGCTCTGCCACTTCCTCCATGGGAAAGCCTACGCAAGTCACTCCCACCCTGAGCCCCAGCACCTGCTCCTTCCAGGAAGAAGAAAGATCTAACTCTCTCTCCATATACCACTCGCACTTCCCTGATTACCCCATCCAAATCCCAAAGTTCCCTCAAGTGTAGGAAGCTCCAAATAAATATGAAGCCATTGACTGGAAGACCAAAGCTGAGAATTAGACCTTAGTGTAGACCCCAGATTTGCTACCAATCAACCTAAGTGGTCCACTGACATAAGGTCCTTGGGCTTTAGCTCCTACAGCTGTAAAATGTGGCCAAAAGTATCCTGAAGGAATGTTGAAGGGCATCCATGAGGTACACACAAAGTCCTAGACAAGGATTTCCTTGCTCGGAACTCCATATGACCCTACACATTCCTCAGACTAAGGAGCAAATCCCTCCAGGATCTGGCCTTGAATCCCATTTCTTCTGCTGGTTCCCTGGCTGCCCTTCACAGAGCCTTACTGCTATGCTCTCTGGGGCCTCCTTGTCATCATGTAACTCACTTGAGAATTCAGTCACCCACATCTAGTTAAATCAAGGGATGTAAACTACTGATCCACAAGCCAAGAATAGCCCTCAGATGTTACATTTTGGCCAGTACAATTTTTTCTTTTTTAACATATCTGAATTCACACATAATAGGTGGGATAAGAACCCTCCACCTTCCACAATACTCACCACTTCCTACTCTCTTACTTTGGCCACTGCACGGTTTTAATTTCCTGTGCAAATCTGAGTTTGAGGCCATGTTCTAATTATGACCCAGCTTCAATGAGCCTCTGAGAATTTGATGAAAGCTGGAGACATCTACCACAAGCATACATTTTTAAGATTTTAAAGACACCCCCCCCCCCCGAACTCCTACTCATACCTCAAGACCCAGCCCAAAGGTGACTCCTGGGAAGCTGTGCTTTTCTGGAATCCCATAGCACATGATACAGACCTCTACCTATCTAGCCTGATGTCTTTTTAATATTCAGGTGCCAGTGTCAGCCACTTCACATGTTCCACCTCCAGGCATAAGCATCTTTTCTAACCTCCCAGTGTTGAGCTTTGTGTCTGGCACAGCAGGTGCGCTTCAAACCATCCGTGTGTGTTGAAGGCATAAATAAATGAATTCGTGAAAAAACAGGATTGACTCAAGGTAAGAGTATAGTCACCAGATGTTCTCCAGACCACTGATTCTTCCCATTTAGAACTATCGGCCAGGTGTGGTGGCTCACACCTGTAATCCCAGCACTTTGGAAGGCGGAGGCGGGTGGATCACGAAGTCAGGAGTTCAAGACCAGCCTGGCCAATATAGTGAAACCCCATCTCTACTAAAAACACAAAAATTAGCCGGACATGGTGGTGCACGCCTGTAGTCCCCGCTACTCGGGAGGCTGAGGCAGGAGAATCACTTGAACCCGGGAGGCGGAGGCTGCAGTGAGCCTAAATCGCGCCACTGCACTCCAACCTGGGCTGAAAGAGCAAGATTCCGTATATTAAAAAACAACGAAACACATCTAGTCCTCTCCTGAGAAAACCTGAATTTGAAAGAAACACACACACACACACACACACACACACACACACACACACACAGTCCCAGAACTCTCCAGCCCTCAAACGGAAAAGGGAATACTGGCTGGGGCCTGACCTCTCTGGACCTCCGTTTCGCTGGCCGCCGCCTCACCTGCCGATGACGTCCTTAGGGTCGTACTTCTGATAAAACTCCTTGGCGGCGGCCCAGTCGGGCAGTTCATCCTCCGGCCCCACGTCCAGCGTCATCCTGAAGGAGGCGGGTGCCTGAGCGGAAGAGGAAGGCAGTGAGGGCAGGGAGGCCCACAGGCTCTGAGACGACGCGCATCGTGGCTCCAGGGGGCGCAGCCCTTGCGGCTGGGGCGCCAGGGTCCTGGGGGTTGGGGGAGGGGCAGGGGAAGGACCGGGACTGGGGAGACCCCGCAGAAGGGCCTGGGGGTGGAAGGATGGCAGGGGAAGGACAGGGCAGAACAGGGAGGGGCGGGGGCGGGGGAGGGGGAGGGGGAAAGAGATGCCCAGGAAGCAGGGGGAAGAGGCGCAAGGGCACCGGCTGTTGCCGCGCAGGCGCACTCGGGCGGGCGCAGGGAGGGGATGGGGGTCTGGCGCAGGCTCACCCGCTGGGGCAGGCAGAGGGGCCAAAGTCGACGCGAGGCGCGCTGTCGCCGGGTTCGCCTGCAGTCAGTCCCTCACCTTAACCCCCGGCGACGGGCGACGACCCGAGGCTCCTCCTCCATCCTGTCGGCCAATGGCCAGCGCCGCCCGAAGACTGAGGCTCAGAAGCCCTTCAGGAAACCGGCCGCCCAATAGGGTCTGGGACAGGCGTCAGAGCTCTGCGTTGACCTAAGGCCGCGAAGCCGGGGTGCGGCTTCAGACACCGCCAATCACCGCGTGACATCTGCGGGCCAGCAGAGGGCGGAGCTTGTTGTCAATTTGGCTTGGAGACCTGGAATGGGACCCGGAAGTTGGGTTTCCTGGGAAACGAGCTCTGGATAGCCGGGAAGCAGGAACTTCCTGCGCCTCCAGTTCCCAGACTTGAGTAGGGTTCCTTCGGTCTCCTCCAAACATCCCTAACTGAATTCAGCATTTTTTTTTTTTTTTTTTTTTGCGACAGGAACTCGCTCTGTAGTCCACGCTGGGGCTCCTGTTGTAGTGGCGCGATTATGGCTCATTGCAACCATGAACTCCCGGGCTCAAGCAATCCAACCCCTCGGCCTCCCAAAATGCTGGGATTACAGGCTTGAGCCACAGCGCCCAGCAAGCTCTTTTCAATATTAACAGCCTAGCCCAAAGCGCCTGTCCTGAGTACACTCCAGCCCTTAAAACATTTGGACACACGCAGCTTGGACCCCAGCTTGGCCTTCGTTTGAACTTAGAAGGTCAGAAGAAGCCTCCCCGTTCTGCCGCCACTTCAGCTCCTCCTGAATACATCCAAAACCCTAGTGTTTACTATCTGGGATTGTTTATACACTTTCTCAATCTTTCACCCTTTCCCAAAAGCCTTGTACCATGCTCTGTTCTAAACCCACCAGGTTGCAAGATTTTGCCAGGAGTGACTCAGTGCACAGTTCAGACCTGGCATTCACTTAACAAATTTTTGATGACCATCTAAGACCTATGGACTAGGCTGAGAGCAATGAAACACACACACACACACCTTGTGGAGGTTATGTTCCAGCCAAAGATGAAAGGAATGAATTTATCTTCCAACAGCTTAGAAATGACACTTTGGGATTACAATTATAGAAGGGAAGAAACATGAATCCAGGTAACTTTTTTTTTTTTTAGATGGAGTCTCTGTTGCCCAGGCTGGAGTGCAGTAGTGCAGTCTCGGCTCACTGCAACCTCTGCCTCAGCCTCCCAAGTAGCTGGGACTACAGTCATGTGCCACCATGCCCCGCTAATTTTTTTTTGTATCTTTAGCAGAGACAGTTTTACCGTATTGGTCAGGTTGTTCTTAAACTCCTGACCTTGTGATCCACCGCCTTGGCCTCCTAAAGTGCTGGGATTACAGGCGTAAGCCACTGCGCCCAGCCTTAGGTAACTTTTTTAGAGTACTTTGACTTTATACCATCAATCAAAAGGCAGGCCGAGCACCGTGGCTCACACCTGTAATCCCAGCACTTTGGGAGGCAGAGGCGGGTGGATCACCTGAGGTCGGGAGTTGGAAACCAGCCTCACCAACATGGAGAAACCCCATCTCTACTAAAATTACAAAATTAGTCAGGCATGGTGGTACATGCCTGTAATCCCAGCTACTCGGGAGGCTGAGGCAGAATTGCCTGGACCTGGGAGGCGGAGGTTGAGGTGAGCCAAGATCGTGTCATTGCACTCCAGCCTCGGCAACAAGAGTGAAACTCCATCTCAAAAAAAAAAAAAATCGAAAGGTGAGATAATTGCAAGGAAATCTTAAATTTTAGATTTGTTGTTTGGTAATGTAATGGGATAATTATTCTGAAGCTGAGTAATCAACATATTGATGTGACTGGGAGTCAAGGTTCTTACTGTGGGAATCTGGAATGGGGAAAGTGGAGGAAGAACTCTATGATTGACTGGAATTTTTTTTTTTTTTTTTTTTTTTTTGAGATGAAGTCTTGCACTGACACCCAGGCTGGAGTGCAATGGCGCAATCTCGGCTCACTGCAACCTCTGCCTCCCGGGTTCATGCGATTCTCCTGCTTGCTTCAGCCTCCTGAGTAGCCGGGATTACAGGCACTTACCACCACACCCAGCTAATTTTTTGTATTTTTAGTTGAGACAGGGTTTCACCATGTTGGCCAGACTGGTATCGAACTCCTGACCTCATGATCCACCTGCCTCAGCCTCCCAAAGTGCTGGGATTACAGGCGTGAGCCACTGCACCCAGCTTGAATGGAATTTTTTAAACAATATGTTTTTTTGAAACAGAGTTTCACTCTTGTTGCCCATACTGGAGTGCAATGGCATGACCTCGGCTCACTGCAACCTCCGCCTCCTGGGTTCAAGCGATTCTCCTGCTTCAACCTCCACTGGGATTACAGGCATGTGACGCCATGCCCGGCTAATTTTGTATTTTTAGTAGAGATGGGGTTTCTCCATGTTGGTCAGACTGATTTCCAACTCCCAACCTCAGGTGATCCGCCTGCTTCAGCCTCACCAAGTGCTGGGATTACATACGTGAGCCACTTCGCCTGACCCTAAACAACTTTTTAAAGATTTTAAAATAGATAAAATTAGGTATTTACAGGCTCTTACCTCTGCTTTCAGAATGCCCCAAAGCAGTAACATCCCAGTAAAACACTTAGTGTCTAGATGTTGATTTCTCAGTAACAGTCCCCCCAAAAAGGAATTAAGGCTGTTCAGGAGAAATGGCCAATTTCTAGGCTTCAGCAGGTAAAGTACAAGGTGAGTCTGGAGCAATTTGTGCCAGAAAATTACTAATGAAGGGGGCTTGTCACAAGGACACAGGAACCAGATTGAAGGGGGTTTCCACTTATCAAAATCAGGGATAAATAATGAGGGGCATGAAAAAGCTTGCTGATATGCGGCAAGTGTTATGTTCCTCTAGGTGGTGAGTGACTGACTACACAGGTTTATTTATGATAAAACATTCATTAAGCTGCACACTTAAAATCTGTGTATTTTACTGTATGTAAATTATGTCTCAACCACTTTAAAAATACTGACAGTAGCTGGGCGTGGTGGCTCAGGTCTATAATCCCAGCACTTTGGGAGGCCAAGGCAGGCAGACCACAAGGTCAGGAGTTGGAGAACAGCCTGGCCAATATGGTAAAACCTGTCTCTACTAAATATATAAAAATTAGCCCGACATGGTGGGGAGCGCCTGTAGTCCCAGCTACTTGGGGGGCTGAGGCAGGAGAATCGCTTGAATCAGGGAGGTGGAGGTTGCAGTAAGCCAAGGTTGTGTTACTGCACTCCAGTTTGGGCAATAGAGTGAGACTCCGTCTCAAAAAAAAAAAAAAAAAAGAATACTGACAGCAATGCATATAACAAATAGAAAAATCTGAGATCATACTGAAGCTAAAAGTTGTACGTAAATAAATGAAGAAGAAAAAGTTCTTTATAGGATGCCACCTAAAAATGTAGAAAGAATGATGGCTAGAAGACCAACAATTTACAAGTCACCTAAGTGACTTGGGGATTAAAATCATTGGTGGAAGTTTGCTAAGGAACAGGGTATTTATATACTTTTTAATTACAAAGAAAAAAAATAATCTTTACCTTGCAAAAATGACAGACATTATCTTAACCAAGTTGTTGCTAACACTACCAATAAGAGGACAAACCAATGTCACATGCCTCCTGATGTAATAAGGAGTGAAGACACACAACTTACATAGTATTTCTGGCAAAAAGTTCATACCTGAATCTAATTATAACAACCTAAATTGGAGGGACATTATACAAACAACTGGCCTTCCTTTTAAAATGTCATAAAAAGCTGGATGTCATTGCATGGGTATAGTCCCAGCTACTAGGAAACTGAGGCAGGAGGATCTCTTGAGCCCATGAGTTCAAGGCTGCAGTGAGCTGTGATCACACCACTGCACTCCAGCCTAGGCAACAGAATAGAAATTGCGTAAGTCCACAGTTTGCAAAGTCTAGCCTGAACAACACAGTGAGACCCATTTTTTAAAGAGGAAAAAAAATAGTAATACTGACAGCAATGAATATAACAAATAGAAAAATCTGAGATCATACTGAAGCTAAAAGTTTTAAGTAAATAAATGCAGTCTGGGTGACACAGTGAGGCTCTGTCTCCAAAACAAACAAAATGTCATAAAATCTGGGGCAGTGACACACCCCTATAACCCCAGCTACTTGAGAGACTGAGGCAGGAGGATCACTTGAGGCCAGTTAGAGGCTGCAGTGAGCTATGATAGCACCTGTGAATAACCACTGCACTCCAGACTAGGTAACATCGTGAGACAGTGTCTCTGAAATAAATAAAAATTTTAAAAAATTGTTTGTCATAAAAGACAAAAAACAAGATGAAGAGTTATGCAAAAGTGAAGCATAGGCCAGTTGTGGTGGCTCATGCCTGTAATTCCAGCACTTTGGGTAGCCAAGGCAGGCGGATCATCTGAGGTCAGGAGTTCAAGATCAGCCTGGCCAACATGGCAAAACCCTGTCTCTAATAAAAATACAAAAATTGGCCGGGCATGATGGTATATGCCTATAGTTCCAGCTACCTGGGAGGCTGTGGCAGGAGAATCACTTGAAACCAGGAAGTAAAGGTTGCAGTGAGTAGAGATCGTGCCACTGCACTCCAGCCTGGGTGACAGTGAGACTTCATCTCAAAAAAACAACAAAACAAAACAAAAAAAAACAATTAGCTGGATGTGGTGGTGTGTGTCTGTAATCCCAGCTACTCAGGAGGCTGAGGCAGAATTGTTTGCACCCAGGAAGTGGAGGCTGCAGTGAGCTGAAATCACCCTACTATACTCCAACTTGGATGACAAAGCAAGACTCCATCTAAAAAAATAATAATGATAAACAGCAATTCAAGTTTTTCTGTTTTGGAGACAGGGTCTCACTGTGTCACCTAGACTTCAGTATAGTGGCGCAATCAAAGCTCATTGCAACCTCTGCTTCCCGGGCTTAAGCGATCCTTCCACTGCAGCCTCCTGAATAGCTGGGATTACAGACTATGCCCACCATGCCCAGCTGGGCATGCCCAGCCACCATGCCCACCTTTTTGGTATTTTTTGTAGAGACAGGGGTTTCACCATGTTGCCCACCCTGGTCTCAAACTCCTGGACTCGAGCGATCTGCCCTCTTCAGTGTCTCAAAGTGCTGGGATCACAGGTGTGAGCCACTGTGCCCAGCTGAGACATGACAACTGAATACAATGAGTGTTGTCACTTGGACCTTAAAAAAGAAATGGCTACAAAAGACAATATTGGGACACCCAGCAAACTTGAATATGGACTATGTATCAGAAGACAATATGCTATCGTTGCTACCTTCTCTGAATTATATAATTGTACTACAGTTAGGTGAGCTAATGTACTTGTTCTTAGGAGATAATCATGACATTATTTAGGGATGAAGGAAGGACCCCCCCCAAACAGTTTAGTAATAAAGCAAATGTGATGAATGTTAAAAATGATAAATCCCGGTACAGGGCATACATGAGTTTGTTGTACAATTATTTCATTGTTTTGAAATGTTTTCAAAATAATTTAAAAACCAGGAAGACCTCATTTAATCAGTATAATGGGATATTCTCCTCTAGTAAACTAAAGCTGCTGCTTAATCCATTGGTTCAAAAGTTTCCATTAGAATCTTTCTTGTAGCCATAAAAAGGAATGAGCTCATGTCTTTTGCAGGGACGTGAATGAAACCGGAAGCCATCATCCTCAGCAAACTAACAAAGGAACAGAAAACCGAACACCACATGTTCTCACTCATAAGTAGGAGTTGAACAATGAGAACACATTGACACAGGCATGGGAACATGACACAACGGGGCCAGTTGTGGGGGGTGGGGGGCCAAGGGGAGGAGAGGAGCATTAGGACAAATAGCTAATACATTCGGGGCTTAAAACCTAGATGATGGATTGATAGGTGAAGCAAACCACCATGGCAAATGTATACCTATGTAACACATCTGTGCGTTCTGTACTTGTATCCCAGAACTTAGGGTAAAAAAACAAAACTTTCTTTTTTTTTTAGTAGAGATGGGTTTTCACCTTGTTAACCAGGGTGGTCTCGATCTCTTGACCTTGTGATCCACCCGCCTTGGCCTCCCAAAGTGCTGGGATTATAGGTGTGAGCCACCGCGCCCGGCCAAAAAACAAAACTTTCTAAAATGTGTTACCCTTTTTTCCTCCTGATTAAGAAATTACAGAGTGAACCCAATAAAAATCTTCTCTAAAAAGCACTGAATCAATTGGGAAACAGAAATCCTGATGCCCAGGCTACACACCTCACACCAATTAAGTCAGAATGTAGGCTGGGTAAAGCCCAGGCCTAAGTACTTTTTAAGGTCCCAGGTGGTTCCACTGTGAAGCTATGTTGAGAACACTGCCCTGTATATGATTTTTACCCACTGTTGTAATTCTAACTTCTGGGACCACCAATCGATTTCTTCTTTCTTCCCGGAGCATGTGGGAACACTGAGGACAGCCATCATATGCCTCTCCTTCCCCTCCAATCTCTCTTCAGTGTGCAACATCTCTCATTCCTTTAGGTGCTCTTCTGGACTCTGAATTATGGTAAGGTACCTTGCCAGGGCACATGTACTCCAAAAGGCATGACTCATAATATCTCCAAACTGCAAACATCCCAAAGTCCACCAACAGAAAATGGACAAATTGTGATATATCCATATGACTGAATACTACACAGCAATAAAAACTACACCTATTCCAAATATTGACGAATCTCAGAATGTTAAGAAATCAACATGAAAAGAATACATGATTCCATTTATATAAAGTTCAAATGCAGACAAAATTAAACAACATTGCTAGAAGTCAGAATGGTGGTTACCTGCAGGAAGAAAGGAAGCAGCAATGATTGGGAGTATAAAGGAGGCTTTGAAGTGTTGGCCATGTTCTAATTTCTTTACTGAATGTGATTATTCACATTTGCTTTGCGTTAATTTAATGAACTGTATACTTGTTTGGGGTATTTTCCTATATGTATGATATAAATGTTATTATGAGGCCCAAGATAAAAGATATGAAAATCCATTTTAATCATTCAAATCACCATGTACAGAATGGTTGTTGCTGTTACCCAACTCTTTCATTCCTCTCTCAGCTCTGGAACCAAAGTGTATGGGTTCAGTCTCAGCTCTACCATTTACTAGCTGAGGACCTTGTGCAAATCTGTCTGTTTCCTCAAGTATAAAATGAGAACACTGTCATTTTAGAACACTTCCTCCAGTTTTCACTGATAGTAGGTGCCTATCATATGCGATATATTCATAAGATGGATATGATAGTATAGATACCTACTATCTAAGTGACTGAAAACTGGAGGAAGAAATATAAAGTGCTTAGAACACAGCCTGGAATATAGTAAGTAAGAAATAATAGTAGCAACTGCTACTACTCTTGGCCTCAGAGTCTCTGTGGAGGTACAAGGGAGAAGCTGGGGTCTTTCCAAGATGGGAAACTTCCAGAAGAAAATAAAAATTAATTCCTTCTCTTGGAGCTCTTGGATGAGGTGGATGCTGGCTTCTGCTATCAGTCAGATGTCCAGTCTGGCTCTCACCAAGGGCCCAAGGAAAAGCAGGGGGAGAACAATTAGACAGGAACATTTCACCACTAAAAAGGCTTTTATTACAAAACAAACTCTAATAAAACCAGATCTGGTGTTAAATCCCCCCTCCCACCGCCCCTCGCTGGGTAGAGGCCCTAGGGTGGGCTGGGGTAGGGGGAGATGGGGGTGGTGGGCCCTGAAAGAACGGAGCAGGCTGCCTTTCTCGAATCAGTCTCAGCCGCTGCCCTCCTTTTATAAAGGGCTAGAAGAGCTCTTCCAAAGCCCCTTGAGAGAGTCCCCATCCTTCCAACCAGGACCACTGCTGTCACAGGACCTTAGCAATGCCGCATTGTAGGATCCAGGTGGTCTTGGCTGGCTCTCAGCACAGGCCACCCAGGGTCACTCAGCCTGAGCGATGGCGTAGGAGAGCAACCACAGCAGCAGGGGGCCCAGAACGAGGACAGCACACCAGACAGCAAAGCTGGCCAGGATGAATTTCCGGGCCCGGGCCCCCAAGCGCACTGCCTCCTCGGACCGGCCTGCCTTATGCCGCTCTTCCGCCTGTGGGGGCAGGTTCTTGGTTAGGTTCTCCTGCTGTTTCTGCCCCAACATGCCCATTTCCCCACTCCACTCCTTCTTCTCTGTCACAGATCAAAACCTCACATCCAAATCCTCTACCTCCCTTTCCAGTTTTCGATTCTCACCTCTGATCTGCAAAATATGGTACCCATCTCTGGGCCCTGCCTACTTCTCAGGGTGGCCAGTTACCTCACAAGATCGCACAGGGGAAAGTACTTTCCAATTCTTTTATTCCCTTTCTTTCCAACCATCCCAAATTGATTCAAAATTTGTAACTACTAGCAAGAAACAGTGAGCTTGGAGTATTTCACTCACGCCCAAACACTACCTCATTTTCAAAGTCCATTGGGCCTCATCTTTTTCATCATGTCTTTTTTTGAGACGGAGTTTCACTCTTATTGCCCAGGCTGTAGTGCAATGGTGCGCTCTCACTGTAACCTCCGCCTCCCAGGTTCAAGCAATTCTCCTGCCTCAGCCTCCCGAGTAGCTGGGATTACAGGCATGTGCCACCACACCTGGTTAATTTTGTATTTTTAGTAGAGATGTGGTTTTACCATGTTGGTCAAGCTGGTCTTGAACTCCTGACCTCAAGTGATCTGCTCACCTCTGCCTTCCAAAGTGCTGGGATTACAGGAATGAGCCACTGCACTCAGCCTCTCTGTCATCATTAAGGACTCTTTTTAGGATTTTGCCCTAATGGAACCCCGAAGTTCTTAGTAAGTTTCTGTTAAAATGTCTAGGGTTGAGAAAATTCGAAGATGAAGTTTAAGTTAGCCTGTGTAGTCTTTCCAAAAGGACATGTGCTGTTTTTAATAGGCTTTTTGAAATGGTGAGGCCCTCTCAAAAACCCAAGTGTCTTCCAGACTCCTAGAGATTGTGCTCATCACCATTCAGCTGCCTCCAGCCTTGCACCCGTTAAGTACCCTTCCATGTAGGCCTTGAGAGTGGATCTTTCTAAAACTCATATCTGACCAAGTCACCTTCCCCTGCAGGAACCATTCAATGGTTCCCCAGTACTTTTTTTTTTTTTATGAGACGGAGTTTCGCTCTTGTTACCCAGACTGGAGTACAATGGCACGATCTTGGCTCACCGCAACCTCCGCCTTCTGGGTTCAAGCAATTCTGCCTCAGCCTCCCGAGTAGCTGGGACTACAGGCACGCACCACCATGCCCAGCAAATTTTTGTATTTTTAGTAGAGACAGGGTTTCACCGTGTTGACCAGGATGGTCTCGATCTCTTGACCTCGTGATCCACCCGCCTCGGCCTCCCAAAGTGCTGAGATTATAGGCGTGAGCCATCGCACCTGGCCTGGTTCCCCAGTACTTTTAAGACAAAGTCAAAACTCTTAAGCATAGAATTGGAGGCCCTTGGGAATCTGGGTCCTCTGGCTTCATCTCTCAGTATTCCTCACTGGTCCAGTTGTGCTCCACAGGCCTTTGTACATACTACTCCCTTGACCTAGAATACCCTTCCACCCTTATTCACTCACCCTTTCAGGTTAATTCCTGTCACCTCTCCTAGGATGCCTTTCCAGTCACTTACTCTACCACATAGACATATATAATCACATATATATATCCTCCTTGGCTCCCAGAGTGTCCTGTGCTTCTTGTATTACAGTATTGATGAACTGCATTCTATTAATTACCCATTTTCACTGCCATCTCTTTCATTAGACTATGGGTCCTCTGACAACAAGGAACACTGTCTCATTCTTATTTCTGGCACTAGGCCCAGAACAGAGCATTGATAGGTATTCAGTAACCATTTGGTCAATGTAGATAAATCAGATACATGAACCCACTGCCTTAGACCCACCCCCCTGTTCCCATGGGAATTGCACACCTCACCTTGATGGCAAACACCAGAGCCATGACTCCCAGGCAAGAGCAGCCACAGATAACGCTAGTAGCTGCCAAGCAGCGGAGGTGGAGCCAGCAGCATCGGATGGGGGATGGAGGATGAGCAGCTTCCGTGTTGCTCATCAAAATCTCCACTGCCTTCTCCTCGTCCTCCATCACCTGTGGGCGATAGTTAAGGTACTTGTGAGCCCAACAACTGAGCCCTTGTCCTTGCTTGCTGAGACTCTACCCCTCAGAGCATTCTGTTCTCATGGCCTAGCCTGGCAGTCAGGAATGCTACCTTACTGGGGAATTCCTCTAGTGACTCACAGAACAGGAGAGGAAATGTGTGGCTGGAATCCTTTTACCTGAGCTTGAGGTTCTGAGTGTCTGAAAACAAGCCAGTGTGGACATGGCATTATCTGTACTATTCAGTGTTTTGACAAGTGGGAAGAAGCCAAATGACAGGCAGGCACCGAGAAGCAGGAGAAATACAGACTCTTAAAAGCTGCTATGAATCTGTTATTTTAATCTGTATTTCAAAGGGCCCTAAATTCCTTAGAGGCTGCCCCCTGAATATTACAGATGTCAGAGAACAGGACCCTAGGTACTGCACCCCACGTTAAGCAAAGCAGCCATTTCACATAAAAACAGTTAAGGGAATGGAGAAAAGTAAGGATCATGTACCCAAATAAGCCCTTTTTTTACCACTGAAACCAAACATCAGAAAGACCTTCCCTAGGTCAGGGCTTCCTCTCCTATGCTGCCTCCCTGTCACCTCCTCTTCATTATAACACAATTATACTAGTACACTGAGTCCAAATGACCTCATTACCACACAGAAACCTGCATGATGCCCTACTTAATCATTTATTGTCTCCCTACTTCTCAGGTCCTCTAGCCCTGGCATCAAACCACCTTTCTACCCTTATCTCCAACCACTCCCCTACAACCCAGACAAAATGAACACCTGTGGCCTTCCGAACCCAAGTAACAAAGGATATGAAGGGTGAAAGAGGTGAGACAAGCAGAGAGCAAAGAATGGTTCGTGCCAAAAAGCTGCAGGGAAGTAGATATGAAGAAATAACTCGGATAAGGTAAACACAGAGCCAATAGAAGGACATAAGGAGGGCCCAGGGAGTGGAGAGAGAATGTAAAAATGAACACGGATCTTACCTGGCTATAGGCCTTGAGGGACTCTTGAGTTTCGGCTCCAGCCTCAGCTTTGGTTTGGCTTGGGTGGTGATGGAGCTGACTCAGGGCTCCAAGCCAAGCCCAGGGGTGGGGTTGGGTGGCCATCCACCTGAAGAGCCCAGGGAGCTGGGAAGGGGTGTGGCTGACTAAAACCAGTTTGGCTAGATGAAAAGCAGGGGAGGGCCAAGGGATGGAGCAACTGGAGCTAGGATGCCTGTGCTCTGAAAAAAGGAGTGAAAGGAAGCACCTGAGCAAGAGGGATACAAGGGAAAGGTCTGAGGCATCAGAGAGCTCCAAGTCCAGTCCAGGAACAATGGGAACAAAATGGAGGTAAAAAGGATGTCTGCGACTTCCAACTGACTAGGGAAAGGCACCCTACCACATCAGACTCGCCAATCTTTCCTCTTCTTGGGTAGATTTCTGCCTCAAATATACAATCCTGGGCTAGAGATCAGGTGCTAGGGTCTTTGAAAGAGCAAGAGAGGAGAATAACAATGCCCAAGTTCCCACCCAACCCTCCACCAGACCAGAAAATCAGAAGCCTCCTTACGCGGATGCTCGTACAGAAACTAAGTTTATTATTTTTCTTCTTAAAAAAAAAAAAAAGAAAAAAAGAAAAAAACCTCATTGTAGAGAAGCCCCTCCCCTTTCCCCTAAGGGTGGGGGGCTGTGAAAGACAGCTGGGGAATCAAGTACAAGGGGGTGGGGACAGAGACTATCTTGCCACCCTTAACACTACCCAGCCACATGGGGAGAAGGGGAGGAGGATTGTGATGATCCCCGTTTCCATGACAACCAGTTGCCTACCCCCTACTTTGGTGGGAAGAAAGGAGAAGGCCCCTTTGTCTCCCTGGAGGCTTTCCCCCTCAAGACTTCAAGTAGTGGTTAACAAGAGTCAGGCCTGGTCATGGAGGGAGTGGCCATGGTGGAAAGCCTAGTTGGAGGGGCAGCCCACTCACGTCTTGGCCTTGCGGCCTCTGTGACTAACAGCAGGGCCAGCCAGGGAGGGAGGGGCACTGCTGCGCAGGATGCGCTGGTCCCCTTGGTTGGTGGTCCCAACAAGCCTGCGGGGGCCAGGCCGTCTGTGTGGGGTCCCATCCCCTTCCTCCTCCTCACCTGAGGGTTCAGGTTCAGACTCCTCTACTGAACCCTCAGGCCCCAGGGGACTTGGGGGCTGTAGGCGGCCCCGCTTCGCCGGCCCAGGACCCCCACCAACTGGGGCCCCTGCTCGTTTGCGAGGCACCTTCTCAGTCTCTAGTGGGGTGACTAGAGACCCTGGACGCAGCCGGGTCGAGCGCAGTTTTGGGGCTGAGACCACAGGAGGTGTCAGTTCCAACCCGCCTGGCCCACTATCTACTAAGTCCAGGTCATCCTGAATTACGGCCACCACCATGGACCCTCCACTCTTCCGTCCTCGAATTCCCTCTGCCTCAAGCCGAAGGCGGGCCAGGCGGGTAAGGGGGCGGCTTCCATCTTCATCAGAAGAACTGCCCTCACTCTCCCCCTGGCCCTGGGGTTGCCGTCGCCTCCCCAATCCACAGCTTTCAAGGACAGAAGTGCTGTCACGGTCCAACACAGGGAGCTGGCTGGGCCGAGGTGATGGAGGATTCTTGGGAGGTCGGCCTCTCTTCCGTTTGGGTGGAGACGCTGAAATGTTGACAGTGGTGACAGTGTTGGCAACAGTAGCGGAGGGACAAGCTAGCAGTGGTGGGAGTGGGGTTAGGGGTGGTGGGAGCGGGGGTGGCTGTGTCCGACTTTCGGAGTTGCCATCCCCTGGAGAGGAAATGATCCCAGGGATGGGCAAATCTCGTGCCTTAGGGGGCCGTCCTCGCCTTCTTTTCTCCACAGGTGACAGGATGGGATTGGGTCTGTGAACTGACTGGGATCCAAGAGGCTGGGGCCCGGGAATAAGCTGTGGTTCCAGGACAGGCTCTCCAATAATTAGGGTCCCAGCCCCAGGGACTGGGTCAGCCCCATTGGTTTTTCCCTTCAAGGTGAATGAGGGTGCCTCATCCACACCTCTCCCAGCATCTGCTGGAGACCTGTTCTTGGGAGGCCTCCCCCTCCGACGTTTCACAGCAGGTGGGGTGATGGCAAGCAGTGCTCCGTCTCCATTCTCTGGGGTGCCACCACCAGTCACCCCCAGCTCAATGTGACGGCGAGCGATGAAGGGCTGCTGCGGTGGAGTGGGCAGTGAGGATGAAGGAGCAGCTTCACAGGGCCCACTAGTGGGAGGGGAGGATTCTGGCCCTGACATACTTCGAACAGATGGACTTCCTGGGCTGGCACTAGTCTCAGAGACCCCAGACACTAAGGTGCTGGCAGCTCCCCGCTGCTGCCGCCGCCGCCGCACCAGTTCCTTTTCCTCTACCACAGTTACTAGCCGTCCTGGCAGCTTTCGAAGTACTTTGGGGCCTGGTGGTTGCCCTGGCCGACCAGTCCCTTGACCCCTAATTTCCACATCAGCACTGGTGCGACGCCGAGGAGGTCGGGCAGGTGAAGAACCCTCAGGCGAAGAAGTGGCTGAAGATGAGGTGGATGGAGCTGTGACCTCAGCTGTTACGAGTTCCTGTGGCTTCTCTGGGCTGAAGGTTGGGGTCTGGGCCTCTGCCAGCTCTTCTGAGTTCCTGTCAGCCTCCAAGGGCTCCTGAAGTGGCTCATGAGATGCTGCTGAGGGTAGGAGCTCCAGGCCATTGCTTTCACTCACACACACGGGCAACTCTTCACCTTCAGGATGCACTGTAACGGTGGTCCCCTCAGCAGAATCTGGTGCCTCCTGCTCTTGACCGTTGGGGACGTTGCCAGCCTCCAAGGTTGGACTGGATGCAGAAGGGGCGAGAGAAAGGTTCTTCTCTGACACAGGCAAGATCTCCACAGCAACTGGCAACAGATCTTTAGGAGGCACAAGAGTAAGTGAGGAGGTCTCTGAACTGGCCACAGTAGCCAGTTCCAGGGACTCTGGAGATGCCAATGCCTGGGCACACAGTTCTGCCTCAGGCCTCAAGCCCAAGGGGAGGCTGGTGACTGGGGGAGAGATGGGCACAGAAGGTGGACCAACCAAGAGAGGAAAGGGAGTTAAAAGAGAGGTTTGGGCTGGAGGAGGTGTATGAGCTGGTGGAGGGGTACAGGCGGGAGGAGGGGTACAGGCAGGAGAACAAGGAGGAATCTGTGGAGGAGGGGGAGGAGAAGGCAAGATATGGACAGGAAGAATGGTTATTGGATTTGGGGCTGAAATGGGTAATGGGACAGAGACTGGGACAGGGACAGGGGCAGGAATTGCAGCTGGAGCTGAAGCTGGAGTGGGTCGAGGCCTAGGTGCTGGCCTGGGAACTCGCTCCCTGGCGGGACTGCAGCGGGGCAGCGTGGTGGTGCTGCGAGTTTGATGGGCAGATATGATAGGAGTGTAGTTTGCCCCTTGAGTCTCAGCCCGGGCTCCACGAAGACGCTCACTGACACGAGTCCCTGGCCTCTCAGGGGCTTTGGCCTTTTTACTGCGCCGGTGGCTGCCTCCACCAGTCCCACAGGAACTCTCATCCCCAGCCCCCAGTCCCTCCTCTTCCTCTTGGGGTAGGCGGAACACTTCCTCCTTGGCTTGGTCCAGGTCTTTTCGGGCAGCTTCCACTTGCTCCTATAACAACAGGGGCCACAAGTGTTCAGGAAGAGGCAAGGAGGGTAGAGAGTGAGTAGAAATTAGCAGCTTCCAGACTGGGCGTGGTGATTCATGCCTGTAATTCCAGTACTTGGGGAAGTTGAGGCTGGTGGATCACCCGAGGTCAGGAGTTCAAGACCAGTCTGGTGTCTTGAACATGGTGAAAACCCATCTCTACTAATAATACAAAAATTAGCCAGGCTTGGTGGTGTGTGCCTGTAGTCCCAGCTACTTGGGAGGCTGAGGCAGGAGAATTACTTGAACCAGGGAGGTGGAGGTTGCAGTGAGCTGAGATCACACCACTGCACTCCAGCCTGGGTAACAGAGCGAGACTGTCTCAAAAAAAAGAAATTAACAGCTCCCCACTGCCAGACCCACCCCTGGAAATACTCACTTCTGCCTGTTTGAGCTCCTCTCGGCTCACCTCCTCGAGTGAGGCCTCCAAGAATTTCATGGCATAGCGCTCAATGGGGGTCAGCTGCAAGGAGGAGCAGTGGTGATAAACGTTAAGAACCTGGTATCCAGTATCCAGGGTCCTACCACCCTTGTTTATTCCCACTAGGGAAGACAGAAGGATGGTCACACGCCCAGGGGAAACACAAAAATGCTCAGACCCAATAAGAACTAGTGGGTCCAACACTGACCTGTTCTACAAGGGCAGCAATTTCCTGCTCAGCCCGGGACATCTCCTCATCCTCAGCCCCAGGCCGGCTGGCCTCCTCTCCTTCACCAGCAGGAAACCCATCATTCTCATTAAATTCTGCAAGCTCAGCCACCTGTTCAGCCTTGGCCTGGGTGGCTGCACGGATATCCTCCTCATCTTCTGCCCGGCACAATGCCTACCAGGGTGTATAAAAGGAAAAGAAAACATGAGACTTCAAGTACTTTACATCCTGTGATGTGATTCAGGCAAAAACTTGAGACTAAGCATACACCAACTAGGTTTGCAACAGAACTTAACAACCTCCGAGGCCTGCAGAGTTACCACAATTCAGTGGTCCACACTGGAAAGTGCTCTTTCCAGAAAGCTCACACGAAAGCCACCAAGGCAAGGAGCCTAGAGTACTCAGAGGGGAAAACATCTCCATGGTGCACTCTGCCTGAGGTTCCTAAATGCCTGTCTACAGCTGGAGAGCTTTGAAAACACACAAATGCTCAGACCCAACACCTCAAAATTATGATTTAGATTTTGAGAGCGGGCCAAGGAATAATTTTTTTTTTTTTTTTGAGACAGAGTCACTCTGTTGCCCAGGCTACAGTGCAGTAGCATGATCTTGACTCACTGCAACCTCCACCTCCTATGCTCAAGTGATTTTCCTGCCTCAGTCTCCCAAGTAGTTGGGATTACAGGCGCCTACCAAGCCCAGCTAATTTTTGTATTGTTAGCAGAGATGGGGTTTCACTATGTTGGCCAGGCTGTTATCAAAGGAATAAATCTTTTTAAAACCTTTCTAAATGTAACTTTA